TTATATATATATATATCAAAGTTACTAAGACACGATCATAATACCATAAAAGTCACGTGTAAGATAAGTGTATACGCTTAACATGTTTTACCCTCCTTAAATAAAGTTTACTATTATTATTATTATTATTATTATTATTATTATTTAGTCAAAATGTACAGACAGTGGCGTGTGCACACACATAACCACACATACAGCACACACTCCATATTTTACTAAAACTTTAAAAGAACCAGTACCATTGACTTTAATAACTGGAGCACTGGTTGGGTACATATAACCAAGCACGCACACACACGCACACACACGCACACACACACTCTTTTACTAAAACTTTAAAAGAACCAGTACCGTTGAGTTTGATAACTGGAGCATTGGGTGGGTGTTTGAGACTCATCTCTATGAGGGGGTCTAGGTTACTGGCCCAACCATTGAGACTGGGGTCTCTGGGCCCAGTGCAGTAGATTGACATGTGTCTGCCAAATGACCCATTGGCATCCTTCATAGCTGAAATATATAGAATAGGATTAATTAGTTATCATATGATTGTGTGAAATGATTTCTGAAGAAATTTATTTAAACTGTAAACAAAATTATCACAACACTGTCTTTCTGTGGCATTTGTACTTCGTTTGTGATGAAAATGGCCACTTTGTATCACTTCAAGAAAATCTAAAATAATTAGAACAACTGAATTCAATACAATGGGGTACTCTATGAATCATCAACCCATGATATATTTCACACATTCCACAGGGAAAACTGATTTAAGGACACCTGTACTCTAGGTGTCTGCCACTGATATCATATCATATCATTCACAAAACCTGTATCAAATAGCACTGTCCCCAAACCAGTTCATATTAAAATTGCCATAGCAAAATTTGTGAACATGGCAATGTTAAAATGCAGATCTTTTAGCAAATGATTAGTGTCAAATGAGTAAGAAAATGGGTTTTATCCATCTACTTGTATCTTTTAATGTAACATTTTTTGTATAACATTGTATTCCGTCCCATTTTTTAGTATCTAGAGAGCCTACAAATGTAAAAACATTGTCATGCTCAATAAATTCTTATATCATATTATCACTTTAAAATCAAAGGAGTTAATTCTCAAAGGAAAAATGTGTGATTGATGAGTCGGGTAAACACCAGTGTACATTCATGCACATGTTTACTGTGACTAGGATAGATGCACATTTGTTTGTACAGCATAGCAATGTATGATAACCAGGCCATACAAATTTATAATTCTACATAACATGGCCATAAGGTTATGATAGCTGATGCTATCCCTTAAATCTAAGGGTAAAAGTGCATTGGATATTGGATATATATATATATATATATATATATATATATATATATATATATATATATATATATATATATATATATATATATATATATATATATATATAAAACAGCTCAGTTATCTAAGCTCTTATATATATATATAAGAGCTTAGATAACTGAGCTGTTTTATTCATACAAGATTAGAGCCAGAGAACATGGGTGGGTTTTGTGTTATTAAAGGATTATAAATCCAAACATTACCCATTAGTTAATTATTAATTATTGTTATAAATCATAAATAAGAGACCTTGGCACTGATGCCAGATGACAAACAGGATCACTTGATTATAAGTCTACCTAAATTTTGAAAGATAATTTTTTTTTTTGTGTGTGTGTGTGTGTGTGTGGGGGGCATGTCTTTTCTGGATATCTCAAAACTCAATTTGCTTTTTACTACAACAACATATCTACACTCAAGTTATCAGTTATAACATGGCATCAACGAGGAAAATGAACTGTACTACTAATGGCTCTTTTCAATTTAAATGTAGATTTCTTAATAAATTCCAATTTATCTCATAATCTCGCCATACTAAGGATTTCTTTAGCTTAGAACATTTTGTTCCCTTGTCAAGTTGATAGTAAGGGCTAATTCCCAGTGACATTCAGCGCGAGTCCTCCCAGAGTTGGACAGATAGTACAATACAGTATTTTCATCGCTTGGGAATCTTTTATTGTGCTAACATTACCTTGAGTCAGTTCTGTGCCAAATATGAGTGCCTTAGCATCAGCTGCCTTCACACAGTGTACCAGGGCCTCCATCCTGAGGTTAAAGTTAATGAGGGCACCTGTCACCCCTATCTTAGCCAGACCCAGCCACAGACAGACAAACTCTGGCCTGGTTTCCATAAATATGGCTATGACATCCCCCTGTCTGTAGCCGGCGTCATGGAAATAGTTGGCTACAGCATTGGAATACTCATCCACCTGTCTGAAGGTCCATGTTTGATTTTCAAATAACATAGCTGCTTTCTCGGGCTGCCTTTTGACTGTTTTAGCAAACACTGTGGTGAGGTTGCCATTGGTTCTCATCAACCACCTCATGTTTAGTTTGATCATAATGAGGTATGAGAGAGCTCTGAAATAGTGAAAAATTTGTTTAACATTTTAATTGTCAACAGTAACGCATTGTAGTTTCTTTTTTAATAAATTGCAGTATTTAATCAATATTTAATAAAAAATCAATCAAAGTTTACAGTGCCTTCCCTGTTAGGAAAAAAAATCAAAGGTAATATTAAAATAAAGGAATAACAAGAATGTCTAATAAATTTTGATAAGTAAAATGTAAGTGATACATACATAAAATGGGGGGAGGGGGGGGGGCTCGAGTCTTTTCCTAACCAATTATCCCTGTCTGCCCACCCAAATTAATCCCTGCTTTATTACTGACTAATGTCATTATCCGGTTACTAGTACAATGGTGCTAGTTAAGTTACTCATCTGGCTTGAAATCCGTCAAGTATTGTCAATACATACAGTACTGGTATGAAAAAGTGAAATCAATATAATTATCAGCTTACATGTACTGGGAATTTATAAGACTACAGTAACTCAAATTTTCCTAATTCACTCCTGAGTTCTGGTACCCACCTTGCATCCCGTGGAAACGTTCTGATCACGACCCACGCGAACCTCCATCCGCCGGTTAATAAATATATGAAAAAACATGCCAGCAAAGATATGCCGATGGACAGATCAAAGCCAAAACACAACACTGATGCCAATATTAAAAAGAGTAGCGACTTCATGGTTGTCGTTTGCAGCAGGTAGTCCCATACAAAGTCTCTCAGCACCCTCGCCAGTCTGAATTCTACCGACTTTGATCCCATGCGTTCAAGATGCGATAGTATTATTATGTTGGACTTTGAACTCTGTAGTATGGTGTGTTTGGTATCAAAGGTCCGCATGTCAGACGCAGCGCATTCGCCGGTCTAGACTCCCCGCCAGTAGAAATAATTCTGTAATTATACATAACTGGCTAGATTCAAAAAAATTTTACTTTAATGAATTTTATATGACATAACAACCAACTCACACGACAAAAGATTCAGATATGCCGAATAAAAACATTAAATTTACCACAAAATCATTTAGAAAATATTATTGCGCGCTATAATTAGCCGGATGTCCAAGTTTCACTCTTCTTCATTTAAAGGCAGGAAATTTATTTTTCAAGGCGAGTTTTGGAAATTTACGTCGTTCATTTTACATTGTCGGTAAGTGAAAGTTTGGTACGACTTGAGGTCGTAGCAAGTAGTTAAGAAAATCCAAAGCAAATGATTCTTTTATGTTACTCAGGGATGGTGACATATACGAGTTTTTTGTTTGATTTGAATAAAAAATTTCGCCGAAATCACAACTTGTAATTTGGGTAACTGTCCATTTACTAATAAAACAATATCACAACTAGAAACAAGGTTTAATTATAGAACTTTTGTTGTTGCAGGAAAAACATGATTGAAATAACGTGTAACGACCGTCTAGGAAAGAAGGTCAGAGTAAAGTGCAAGTATCCTATGTATGGACCATGAATGGTGATTGAACAAGATATTTTTTTATCAGATATTTCAATGTCTGTCAAATTTAATACTTAAAAATTGGTTGTTAGAATTGCATATTCCAACAAGTAGGGTTAAACTATGAAAAGAGTGAGTTCATAACCAACAGACACTTGTTACTGCATTTCAAAGTTCTTAAAGTAGAGAAACATGCAAGTACAGTGTTTTAAATTTAATGAAAGACCACACAGTACGTCAATCCTTGACTTTCTGTCAGTCCTGATGACAAAATTGGAGATCTGAAGAAATTAGTTGCAGCACAGACTGGAACAAGATGGGAGAAGATTGTTCTAAAAAAATGGTAAGATTGATAAATAACTAAGAATTAATGATCTTCATGAAAATAAAATGACATGAGAAAACGAACAGTAAAAAATAGCATTATATAAACTTAAAATAATATTTTCCAACAGAAAGGTTGCATTAATTGCTTTTTTCTGCCACAGCCAAAAGAGATCTTTTTTATTAACAGGATACGTGATTGATAAACCATACATTTAATTTTATTAAAATGTGGATGATTTATTTAACCTACATAACATGTAAAATAAAAAGGAATTTGCTGTAACATAAACATTTATAATGGCAAGAAATGGTCAGTGATAAAAATGGAACCACCAAAATTGAAAATATGACTCCCATATCTTAAAATTAAACATTACTGCTATTTTATTGAAATTTGTTTATTGGAAATTTTATTTGTTGTAAATATGTTTTTATGTACTCTTATTTCAGGTACACTATTTTCAAAGACCATGTCACGTTAGCTGATTGTATCCTTTGCAGTGCTATAGGGGGTATATATTTGGATATGATGTGCAATTTGAATATTTTTTCATCTTGTAACTGTGGTTGTTGTATTGATATTATTCTAAGGCAGATTGGTTGGGAGCTGAACCTCTACTGTGTTTCTTTTGTGGATGTTTTTAAAATAGCTGCATTTTGTGTAGACCTGATATATTTTAGTCAGGAAATACATATAAGACACTTCATCCATTCTAATGACATGATAACGAAGGTGATCCCATAGTTTCTCGACCATCTTCCTATGGAGACTAATGTGTGGATGATTCTCCGCTTTAAAACCTACTTTTGATGACTTGGATTAAAAGAGAGTACAACAGTGATAAAAAAATTAATTTTTTATTTATCCAGCAGTCCATATTTCTTCACTAAGAAAAAGAAAAAAAGAAAAAAATCAGGTGAAATCCTTAACAGGTGTTCCAGATGAAATCAAAGATGGACAGAACTTGGAGTTGTATTATCAGTAAATCAGTCACATACAATTGTCATTAAAAGGACATAGTTTTCCATCATCATTCATCAGCTGAACCAAGGCACTCACTTCACCAATGAGTCCTTGGCTGGATCATATTTGTGTTTTCTGTTTAAGAAAAAGTTTTGTCTTTATGATGAATTATGACACTGAGCATTCACAAAAATGTAAATATGTCTGGATGCCTGGAAAGAAAGGGAACATATCTCCTGTAGATTAATATCTGTAGTTCTTACAGAGGATGCAAAATGCAGGTTTTTTTTTCTTTTTCTTCATTTATATTGTTGACTTTGTAACAATTATCTCAATTGCTGAGAGAAAAAAGAGATGTTGAAAAGGCAAAATGGCTTCAATAATGCTGAAAGTTTCAAAGCAAATGACACCTCTCCTTCCATGCAGTTTAGTTGTCTTATTGATACTTCATCTATTTAAGTATTACAAATTCAGTGAAATGTCTTCATTAAAACCATCGTGGACAAAAATTTGATAAAAATTCATCTTGAAACATTTGACATTTGAGTTAAATTTGATATTTGAGTTTCATAAAACATAATACTATGGATATAATAAATCTTTAATGTTTACAAAGATTCGTTTTGAGTGGTTATGCAATTTTTTTGCTATGTAAATATCTACACAAAATGGCATTTAATGATAAAACTTAAACTTTCTTAGTGGAGTAACTTTTTAAAGGTGAATGTTGCGCCTCAATTTTAACTAATCTCACCTGATGCAATTGGCACAGCTTAGCCAGACGACGTCGTGCACCACGCGTTTGGTCTTGACATCTGAAAAAAATCTAAATCACAGTAACACCCAGAAAGTAATGCATTTAATAAATAACCATTTCCGCTACATTCATTGTTAAACGGTGGATGAAACGTCTCTCTCTCTTTTCATTTACGCGTTCCACCGTAAACATCCACGTTTTGATGTTAACCCTACCTACCTGGCTGACGTCACGTGGGAAGTGTGAATCACATTTGTTTGCTGTGAGCTGTGACAACTAGCCGGATCTCTGATCTTTGATAAGTTCAGTGCCAGCGTTCATATTTAAAAGCGCTTCTTCATACTTTCACAATGGATTGAACAGTCGATGTTTCCGATGGGGTGCTCGTCGTCGAATTCGGCAAAAGTTGCTGAGCACGAGAAAAACTCAAAAGTGCCAGGTAAGAATACTTAGTATTACACCTGTATGAACTATGAAGTTTATCTTTCTGTTAAGAGGCACCGGCAGCCTTTGATAATAGGTCAGGTAAACGGCGCAGTATCTTTGTTAGGGGCTCGTTTATCACTGAAATTCATAAAATGTAAACGATCTATAATTTTGTATCGAAGAATAATTGAGAAACTTAGTTTCGTTTTGATCAGTGTAAGATAATTGAACTAGCCTTTGGGGTATCGATCTTGGGACATCAAAACTAACAAATATTACATATTTTTACAAGGGCAAGAGGGTGCATTTTAACGAAAAAAATTGGCAAAGAGAGATATGAGTCATTTGAAGCATTTTTAACTTTCCAAATAGTAAAATATAAATTTTTCCAACCATTAAAGAAAAATCGGCGTGATTCAAAAATATTTTTTGGAAAATTGTTTAAGATAATACAATTTGTATTATATTAATGAAAAATTAAAGAAAAATCTTTATGTGCAATATGTTTTTTAAACATGAAAGAATTATGTATAATTTGTTACAAAGTGAAACTAATACAGAGAATTGCATTTGATTTTTTTTTTTTTTTTTTTTTTGAAAGTAATGTGAAAACTTTTATGGGCAATTTCTTAGAATGTATTTGAAAGTGTTTTGTTTAAATATAGCATGCAATAATTGAAAGGAACGTATTATGCATCAAAAGACACCTGTGAAGTTGTAAAATCTATTGAACTGTTTTGTCCTGCATCACTTCAACCTGGTCTATTCAATGCCTTATTGTGTACTTAAGTTCACAGATCTCACAATTTAAACATTGGGGTACCCACAATCTCGACAGTATTTGCCTTCACCTTGATTTAACCCAAGTCCCAGAAAAAATGTCTGCTCAATTAAAAAAGAAAAAAACTGTGGGACTTAAGTGCATGACTTAACTAATTTTTTATTGATAACATTCTAGATTTTACCGTTTGTAAGGATGTCAAATTCCCAGTTGAAAAATTACGTACATCTATACACTTTTTAGACAACTTATTTCTCCACCGGTGACTAAGCTGAGTGAACTGTTACTTTCTTTCCTTGTATCAGCAGTTTATATCACACTTTGTGAGCAGCGACTAGTTATTTCAATACTCAGGAAATAAATATAAAATACTTTCAGGCCACGTTAAGGCAGGATTTCTGAGAAATCTGTAATATAAACAGTAAAATCCTGTGTACCTTGTCTTAAGAATTGAACTGTCACTGTCAAAAATATTGTTTAGTTATTATGAATGTTATTTGAAGTACTTTAAGATGCCACGCACCTCATGCAAAATCATTAAAACCTTTGCAAAGTTTACCCATGCTGCAAGGGAAATTTATGAGTTGTCTACCAGGGTTCAAAATGAAACATAGATGAACTGGTAATTTGCTATATAATAAAAACTTCTGTGAAATAGGGGATTGCCAACAAATGCGCTGGCAGATAAGAGATATATTGGTTAGGATACATATATATCTGTAAATCAGTCATGTGTGCAGGAAAAGTTGGTGCACACAGAAATCATGACTATTTTTCATCTCAAAGCTATAAATAAAAAAATCCCAACAATGTGTACAATTTGTGATAATTGCCACTGAAATCACTTTAGTTTGAACCCCTCCTTGCTACACATCTTTGTTAGGAAAGAAACAATTTAATATATAAACCACTTTGCCAAATACGTAATGTCTGTATTGGCTCCTCATTGTAGTAAAATTTCTATATTATGAGTATATTTAGTATATTTCCATAAAAAAATAACAAGACAAATTTACAAAGAGATAACTTTCTACTTGGTATCTAGATTTATATGGATTTTAAAATTTCTTCAGTTAAGAAATGGCCAGCAGACTGGTATGATTTTCTTTTTTGTTGACACATGCAGTATCAAGTGATGAAAATAAGTTGAGTTTATTCAGCATTAACTTAACATATCAGTGACAAATAGACACAGACTCTGAAGTGTGTCATAGGGGTAGTGCACTGTGGTCAACACCCAGCAAACATCTGCAGGGTTTGACCACAAAACCAGTACAAAATAATATTTAATCTTACTTATTGATCCTTTAAATTAACTACACTTCACCTAGTTTTTATTTTATTAGTTTTAGTCAGAGAATAGTCTCTTCCACCAGATTTGTTAATCTCTTAAGACAGTGTCAATTGATTCTGTGGAATAGCATCCTGGTGTAAACAGCGCAGTATTCAATGAGAGGGTGCCGTGGAAACGGGTAAACATTGACAGTGGTCCCTTTGTGCCCAAGGCTACTTTATGTTACCTGTTTCATATATTCTTGAACATGCCCCAGGATTTTCTGTGATAGATTTGATTACAGAAAAAATTACTGGGGTTAGATTAAAGTTAAGTGTGTCTGAGAGGTCTTTGTTGGAACACTGTAGTGAGAATTTTGTGTCGCCCTGCTTTCATTGTGCAAATTTTAAGTCCTGCATTCCCTGTAGAATGAAATGACGTCGTTGACTGAAAAGGCTTATATCATGTTTGTTTGCCAAGGTTTTATCTCCATGTGCGAAATTTGCTTGCTCAAACAAATTAAAAATGGCTTCAGATCAATTACTGTGAAGATTAACCTCCTCCGGGATACCTTATCTTTAAGGTTGATGTTATGAGACACCTGTTAAAAGGGCATTTGTAAAATTGTTAGACAGGTTTATTAAGTGTCAATTAAATGTAGCTTAAAAGTTACCTGCTTACTTGTTTCCAGTCAGTCATTATTATACAGATTTGCCACATCTAGTAAGAACTTAACCTAACTTGATCCTTGCCACACTTTGATTCTGTGAAGTTAAATGTATTCTTCCTGCATTTGACAGTGTCACTAATTTTTTTCCAATTCATACCTTAAAAATGATAAAACCCATCAAATAAAAGAAACAGATGTTGATTATTTCTTTTTCAGTGTTGGTTAGACAGGAGCAGTCAAAATTTCTGGCTAGACATTTAGAAGTAAATTATTTAATTGAAAATGGTATGAAACATTGAATCTGGACATTGGGAGAACTGCAGGTGTTGGGATGGGTGGAGCAATGATTCTTGAGTCTTCAGGAGAAAATTGTTTTTTGAAAAAAATTAAATTTGGCTTGAAAACCCCAGATATAATACCTTTAAATAGAAGTTCTGATGCAAACAAAAAAGTATTTTAAGTAGGAATATAATGCTGTGATTAGAATGGCTTTTCAATAATCAATACTGTTTGCATTTGCGTTCTTTGTTTGACCAGTTTTATTCTCCGTTAAGCAGTAAAAATGTGAACAATGCTTTTTGAAAAAAAAAAAACATTTTTTCATCATTAGTAAAGTTCATAAATAATCAATAGTGTGATAGAATTCTTAGTTAAAGGTTACTGAAATGGAAAAGTCAATATTCAAATACCAATACAAACTATTTAAAGACTCCCTATGTAAATTTTACCATTTTGTAAGTAATTGAAAGATAAAGCATGTAGGTTATTGAATATTTTCCCCCTGACTAAGTCTTTCACTGGGACTCACATACCTGGCCTGAATTTAGAGGGTTGCAGGAGTAAACAGATTAATTAAATTTACGTATTTTATTAAGTTGTTGATTTACACAGAACATATAATTGGTTTATAGCTTGGGACTTAATGGTTCACATATATCTGTACAATACAAATTATTGATTAGGCTTCCTGGAATTGCATTAGCAGGTAATTGTTTTCAGGAATATTTGGAGAACCCTTTATAGATTCATTAGGTAATTGTTTTCTTTTTAGTTGACAGATACTGTTTGTTCATCTATGTTGGGATCTAAATCATTCATAGTAATTCCTGCATGCCATCATTTAAGTACTAGTGACAGGGAAAACTGTCAATACTGTTGTAGATAATTATCACACTGATGGCAAATTGATTTTTAAAGCAGAATCAGTTTATTTTCAAAGTTTGCACTTACATGAAAAAAACCTACCCTCTAACAGGCTGTGGAAAATATGTATACTCTTCTCTATGGGGATATCACAGATAGCCAAATGACCATCTTTTTATCTAAAGGCAGTTAGTTAGCTGAACTTTTCCTAAATATCCATATATATATGCCTATTTGTTCTGCTGACATTTGACTGTATGCAGGGACACAAGGCAGTTCATGATCGGCCACATCATAATGGCCTTGTGATGGGGTTTGCTGGTCTGAATTTAAACGGGTTTTTTTTTTTGCGACAAATTAAATCTTATAGGTAAAGACCTTTCCTCAAATTCAATTACTGGACATGAATTGAGAAAAACCAAAGACTATAAAGAGGTCTATAAAGAAACAGTTAGTTTAGGCATCACATTTTATGACATGGTAAATTGAGCATTACGTTTAACAGCATGCTATAATAAGAAGGCATGGTGTGAGCCTATGTGACTTATCTGTGTTGACAACTTGTATGTGTAACATACCCTTACCTCTGTGCTTAAGCTTTCTAATTAGTTTTGCTTGTAAATTGATTAAACCTATCAATGAATTTCCTTTTTCTACCCAATCAAAAAAGTTTTCTCTAAAAATAACTGTACAATTCTAAAGTAGTACTTAAATATACAATATTAGAATGCAGAATTTTAAACCAAATAAGTAAGATCTCAATTTTTCTGTTTTAGACAAATTAATTGAAGAAAAACAGAGTAAATTAAAGGCAGAAGAAGAGGTGGCTGCCAGAACACTGAGAGGAGATTTATATCAAAAAGAGTCAGCAAGAAAAGCCAGGGAAAAGAAACTGCAAGAGAAAAGGAAAAAGACAGCATTTAATGCAGAGGTGAGATATTTTTTCAATTTGTCTCCTCTTTTTTTGTGTCTCTTAAAATAAACATCTCATCTTGTTACACATGAGTACTTAAAATTAGATGTCTCACACAAACAACAGCATAGTCTGGCATTGAAAAATAACGAAATACTTGGAGTGGCAAGAAAGAAGAGGGAAGCAATATTGATTGTTACATGTAACACTCCTCTCATTTATAAACAGCAGTTCTTGCACTCTGACACTTTAAACCCCAATCACACTTTTTGATAAAAAAAGTAACCAATGGATAAATATTTATTTATTTATTAAAAGTAGGGGCTTGTGATTTCATAGCATCTTGGCATTAGGGGGAAATGTTACATAAATCCATGCCATTGTTTGATGAAAATCTATCACTTCAATAGTTTCGAAAATATTTGGTTTTTAGATAAGAATCATTTAATAGGTCATTCATGCTTAAGCAGTGTTGACATAGTTGAAGTTATCAAAGTAGCCAAGTGAGCAACCCATGAGTCTCCATTTTCAAATCACAGTTTTTAGACTTTGAGACAATTTTTATATATTGAAAATCTGCAGAAATTAAAACAGTTATTTTCACCAAAGATATATTTTTATTTAAAAGGTCTTATATTTAAAAATCATATGTTTGAAAAATATTGAAAAAATTAAAAAGAAAAAAAAATTATACCGATAAGCTGCCTTTTGAATGCGAAAGTAGACCCATAGCAACCTTAGTCAGATTTGATAAACATAAATGTGATAAAGAATCATGTGTAGATAATTTCATCAAAGCATGATGAGAAGGGGAGATAATACACCTGTTGATGTGAAAAATGAAGGTTTTTATGATGATATTACTTTCATGTTCAGATGTATTTCAATTTGAAATACCGCTATAAATTTGACTGAAATTTAATTCATAGTCTGCAGCCTTTCCTGTGAAAATAGCATTTCATCCATTCACTTGGAGTGCATGCACTTGTTCTACCTGGCAGCACAGCATAATACGGGAATATTATGTAATGGGTCAATACACTTAATACATAAGGGGCATGAGAATTAATACAGTATACCTGGTTGGTTTTTAGAGCAAATGAACCTGTTCTCCTATTAATTGTTGGATAGTGTGTCCATGTTCTGTGTCAGGCTGACCTGGGTGGGGGTTGGAATGAGTTGTGATGGGTCACAGTGTTGGGTGTTGTGCAATGTCAGTGGTAAGCATTAGTGTATCACAATATAAACAGTCAGCCAGTGCAGCTGAGCTTTTGTTAATGCTCTCAGTTAGTTTGTGGATCATTCTACAAAAAAAAAAAAAAAAAAAAAAAAAAAGGAACATTTGAGTCATATCAGTGATGTGCCCATTTTGTGTAAGATTTGCATAATTTTGATTTGCCCCATATTTGGGTGGACCCAGGGGGGTGGACCCAGGGGGCATACATACAGGGAGTACTGTATACATGTGCCCCTTCCTAAACACACACACTCTGGGCATGCACACCACACATGCACATACATACACACACATTGCATGCATACTGCATGCATACATATCCATAGCTTTTTCTAAAAAAAAAAAAAAAAAAAAAAAAAAAAAAAAAAAACCTTGTTCTAGACATCTTGTATTACGTTAGCTTTAAAGACATGCCTGATATAAACAGTGAGGCTTTGGGACAGGAATTATATAGTTATTCATGGTGTTTTATTGGGTATGGCTACTAAAATATACATACCTGTACATGTATGTAGTAACCTCAATCTTTTGTCAAAAAAGTCCTTGGTATGTGATACCTAGTTTGTTCAATGGGACTGGCATTGAATGGCAAACAGTTGTCATGTTGAAGTATATGTTATTTTAGCAACTGACAGAAGTGCAATTTGATATATTGTATAATCATATCTGATTTCTAATTTTTCGGCAAAGAGGAAGTTATTCAGTCAAATCCACGAGCTATTCATTTTTGAATTGCAACATTTTTGAGTTGCTTAGACTGCCCCACAGCGAATGCTTTCAATTTATTTATATATAACATAAATATTGTGATACTTGTTTATGGACAATATTGCATATCTTTTGAAGTGTGTGATTTAAAATCTATAGTTAAGAATTTAAGGCGGGGTTATGGTATGGCTTGTGTTTACACCCGAGGGGGTGAAACTTTCCATAAACCTATTGATCAGCCATCACAAGGACATACAGGCTTAGTTAATTTATTATTGACTGTGTGATTTCATGCACACTGCTTTTGTGTTGATTTCATAGGCTGTTGGAAAACTAGGATTGTTGGCTAGAGAAACAAGAAATGAGTAATATTGGCAGCATTGTTGCAATCCAAATTTGGGTCATGACCTAAAGGCTTATATTGATTTTTTAAAAGAATTTGGTGATATGTTTTTCTTAATCTGTTGTTTTTCTGTGTCACTAAGCAATGTCACACCATATGAAAACAAACAAAAAAGAGAGACCATGACAAGAATTGATGTGCTTAAAGTCACATAAATTAGTAATACAAATTCATAAATTCTTATTTCAAATTTTAAAAGATTAAAATCTCTTCTTACTCCAGGTGATGTCGGACCGCGTCATGGAGGAGAAGGAGAGGTTGTCCTGGGTGTCATCAAGATCCAGAGCCACCTCCAGGGCTGGCTCACCTCCCGAGAAAAAGAGTAAGTTTGTGAAATGGAAACACAGAGGAAAGTCCCATTATCCCATTTAACGTATACTATTTTGTCATGCTTATTACATTAGAGAAAGTCAAAATTTGCGAATATTTCATCTGATACTTCCTGATATCTAAACAGATCTGTTACTGAATCATATATTGATCTGTACAGTTGTCAGCTTCTCTGCCTTGAACGTTAATTGTTGCAAGATGCTCTTCATATCTAACAGTGAATCTGTCTTCCTTTCAGAGCATGTTACCTTCCCCGACCAAGTCAAGTTCAGTGGACCGGGGTCTTGCAGAATTTCCCCACTAGCACAGAGTATAGATGTAGATAAGAATGTACCAGATGACAGGAGCGACACCACAGACACTGCAAGTTCAGTCGCTGATGGTCAGGTGACCTGTATTATTCGTGTTGACGACACCACTCAGTCCAGTCATCAAATACAGAACACAAAGAAAAGAAACCAAACTCTTTCCGAAAGGACAGAAAAGTTGAAAGATGAAAATTCAAATGATAGTTTTGTGCAAATTAATGGCTCTCTAGGGCATAAAAAACTACCTCCTATACTTCGTGGTGAAATGAAAGATGGCGCCACTATACACAGCAATTACAGACATGACAAGGTGCTTACACATTCTGGGCAAAGAAAAGACGCTGAGCAAGAATTGTCCAACCTTAGCACAGTGGAGGAATAATCTTTTCTCAATTTTGAATTGTAGATTAATATTTTTCACGTAAGTTGAAGAAAATGTTGGTTAGACAGTTATATTTGTGGCACTTCATGTACTTTGCAATCTTTTCACCTTAGACACAAAAACCTTCAGCTTCACTTTTGAAGAAATCTATTTATAATGAGAATAACGATACATTTAGTTTTATACTGTCAGCCGGTCTGACAAATACGTATTTTTAAAAAGTGAAAGAATGGTTAATGGTTATGTATGTTATTTATGACTGTGTAATCAGTGTAGATGCTACAAATGCCATCAGTGATATGATCTCTGTAATTGAAATTCAAATGATGACAACCGGGTTTAGACATAACAGTTAATATTTTACAGAGCTACTGGATAGACTTATATTCTACATGTTGGGATAATTTTTTACGCCGTCCTGAATGACAACTATACTAAATGTTATAGTAATAAATATTGAAATGTTACGCTGTGTTTTATGAAGTTGAATGTTTTTCACTTGAAAATACGGGAAAATTATGACGAAGTGTGATCTTCTAAATTACCCCAATTTGACGTAAATCATGCTAATTCAAATTGAAATTTCACCTCAATTTCAATGTTTACTGCTTTAGTCGTAAACCAGATGACAAACTTCTTCCCTTCCCAGCTCCATCTTGAGTCAAGTCACGTTTTAATTGATAATGGTCTAACTTTTATCACTTCTGTGGTATTTTAGGTCAGCTGTCTTTCCTTCACCTCGTTTTATGGTTATTATTTTATTACGGAAGATTCCGTAAACTCGGTAAGCTGTACGCACTCTTCATCAACTTGGGGCGCAAAATCACCTAGAAGGGCGTATGAGGTGCATTTACCAAACTCACCACTCACCACTCACCAACTCTGCCAGTTTGAATTTATTAAAGACATAAGTTACAAACCCGTTTGCAATGGAATATTTGACGCCTTAGTTATCCCAAGATAAATAAAATAGCGCCAAATAGTCTGTCTCCTTCAATTTACCGACGGTTTTGTTTAATCGTAACACCCTACTATTCAGTGGGAATTTCACTTTCACAAATGCGGATGCAGTGATGATGTTTGAAGTTTGACTTTTAAGCACGTCTTGGCTTTAAACAATAAAAATCTTTATTTTAGGCATATAGTATGTAGGCTATACTTATAATACCAGTGCATGAAGTAAGGACTTGCATGAGGTTACTCAGCATCAGTATTATGTGAAGCCTCCACTGTTTATTGTCAAGACTTGCTCAAAGTTTGCCATGGAAAAGCAAGTGGACTTAAGACTTCCACAAGAATTATAAATTCGGAATAAGTTGTTATATCGGTAATTGTTGGAACAAATTGTTGGAAGAGCTTTAAGACAAATACACAAAAACTGATAAAACATTGAGCCGATCAAAGAAAATTGCTTCTTTATTGCACGGTTGCTATGACCATATATAGGCCCTATAGGCCCTACCAGAGCAAACAGTTGCGGAAGTGACGGCCTTGTTCTGTAGCAAACAGTAGATCCTGGGTTTAGTAATGGACCTCCTATTGATGTTATTGTCATTGATACCATTACGATAGCGGAGTTTTGTCATCATATGTCAATATCAACTCGATTTGAATTTCAATTTATTCCTGTATCGGTATAGACATTTTAGTCATTTTATGACCTTGTAAAATAAAATAAAATATTGGTAAATTACCTATTTGCAAATAAATGCAGATATAACTGAAGATTGACATGTTAGGGACAGTGGAAAGAGCAATAATAATGATAGAATCCATATATAATATCTTTATTGAAAAGCCTATTAGTATTACATTAGTTGAGCCTATATATCGCTTTCCATTGCGGTAGAGAAGTTTATTTGTTCTAATGAGCATGCGCACAGCGAAAAACATGCCGAAAAATCCCCTGTTTTAAAATAAGCAAATCAGCTATTATTATCATCGACCAAAATTCCCTTTTTTGGCCCCAACTAATGTTTCTCGAATATAAAGAGCGCCATGGCGTGTGGAGGGGGAGCCGTCGATCTCTTTAGGCCTAAACGTATTTCAATGCAAGATTTTAGACGTATTCTATCTGAAGAACTTGAAAGGAGCATTCGAGCCATCCTTGATGACTTTGTTGAAAATGAGTGTGACAAGTTTGAAGCAAAGATGCAAGATAGAATGGGGAAGAAGAAGCTTTTCCGCGAGTTGTTACTGGGCAAAACTGTTCTTGTGGGCAAGAACATGGCAGGAAAGGCGGCCATGGACGGCGATCAGAAGTTGCAGGCAGCGGTTGACAAGTTTAAGAAAAAATATAAACAGAAAATTGCACAGGCGTCGAAAGGGGCTTTCTTGTTACTGAGTGGGCTGTCGACGGACGATGAATCTGAATTGAGAAAGAGTCAATGTGCGTGTTTGAAAAAAGTTTTTCCCGGCATTGAAGACAAAGAGGGGAATGTCGTTGAGGAAAGGGAAGTAAAAGACAAAACTGCGATGTTTGAAGTTGTGTCGGAATTCATTAAAAATCACAGTGATAAGACTCAGATGTTTATATTCTTCCTGGGGCATGGCAACGAGGAAGGCATGATAGAGCTTGTTGGAGGGCAGTGTATGCTTAAGGAGCTCGTCAAATTTGTTGAAACCACAGTACAAGAAGTACCCAACTTTACCCACTTGACTCTGGTACTGACGCAATGTTTTGGCCATCTCTATGAGAAACTGGAGAATCCGTGGATAAATGTCGTTCACCTGACCAACAAGTGTTACCCCGAAACGTATAGGCCTACTTGCCAGAAAGAGGGAAAACAACCGGTTTATTATATTTTTGACCTTAACGGTAAAAAAAATGTACGTGGTAACATCAACATGAAACACTTAGTATCCGATTTGAGTGCAAATTCCCTGTATTGCACATTAATCACCTCTAGGTCCCTAACAGTTCTTTATACGACTCAAATAACCTGCACGCCAAAAAATAAACCTTATTAATCACTCGATCGGAAAAAAAAATTTGGTCATAAATTTAACCTTTTTTATCCGTCCCTCCATTTTGTAAAAATCCGCCAAATGCCACAGTAATTTATTGGAACAGCATATCATTATTGGCGAAAATGACCAAGTTCAAAATATCTCTTCAAATGTCATTTTTTTGGGAAATATACTTAGCAACAATACCCTTTAGGTATTTCTTTACGTTATGCTATATACAGTAGCCTATATTGTGGCATTAAGTCGAGTTTACTTGCCAACTTGCTTAAAATGGACCGTAAAGCTGGCGAATATACAGAAACTTAACAAATAATTCATTCCCACCACTCCATTTTAATATAAACCGGGATATTCCAGTGGACAATTATTAAAGAATTAATCTAATGAAAGGAACACCTTTTAACAAACAAGCTATTACTGCATCGCCATTACGTAAGGTGGGATCGGATAGGCGTTTTTTATTTTTAATTAAAACAAAATTTTGGTCAGTTTAGCCATTTCTTTTTCAGGGGTGCAGGCCCGCCATATTTCCTGGCGGAGGAGTTGAAAACAAGTTTCTGTGTGTGCATTGCAAGTTCGTGTTTAGAGACCCCGTGCAGAGTTCATGCGGCCATCGATACTGTAGAGAATGTCTTGATTCTCTGATAAGGTAATGTTCACCGAATCTTTAAATGAAAATATGTGTACATAGCCTATAGATCTAAAATGTAGGTGTCTTGAAAAGCAATAAGTTTAAGGTCAGTGGTATCTAGAAGGGGTGTAACAGTAATCCAAGTCCCGTAGGACTACCATTACTTGGGGATAGTAGTCATACTGGGACTTAAGTTTCTGGCTCATAATTAGAGTAGGTAGGACTTGTATTACTTGCGGACTTTTATTCCGGTCATTTGAAAGTCCTATCCTTATGCATTAATACGGTTAAATGATACAATTATGAATGTATATGAAAATCGTTCTGGTGAACCATATATAAGACAAAAAATAATTGGTTTGCAACTTCATCAACTTCTTTATCTGTGATGGGTTCTTACATTTTTTGCCTAGAAATGGAACAAATTCATGTGCTGTATGTTTGGAAGAAGGGGAGGAACAATTCGACGCATATCTTGGGAATGAGGTACATCAGAATGAAGCCTTTATATATATATATATATACAGACTATTCACTTTTTTGAAAATCAGTACTAGACTGGGAATACTAACTGAGGTGTCATTCATTATTACATAGTAAAATATCAAAAATGTATTTAGATTTCCAAAATTTATTCATTTTTATAATTGTTTAACATTTTACAGATAATCCCGGACAACTGCATGAAGCGCGAACTTGATCGTCTGCGCGTTAACTGCGACAATGAAGGATGCGACTGGACAGGGAGATTCTCTGAATATTTGGGGGTAATGTTTTAACGAACCAGAGTATTGATAACGAGAATATTACAAGCCACCATTTAAAAAAATATTTATCTATTTCATAAAAGGCTACCTTTGCAATCTAAAGGTATATATATATATATATATATATATATATATATATATATATATATATATATATATATAACTACTTTCCTGTATAGCAGACTTGTCAAGACAGTCCGCCCTAGGCCCAGGGTGATTATAGAATTTAATTTAGAATTCAGAAATTATGGAATTTAATCAGCGGTGCTATTTGCCGCAAAATTTTTTTTTTGGAGGAACTTGAAAATTAAATTAAAAAACAGACAACATGTTAAAACCTACAATTAATAGTACTTTCCCTCTCTCACACATTTTCATTTTCATAAAACCATTGCAGCGATTTTTATAAAGCAGATTTTTACGAAAAACATAACGTTTTAGGACCACGAAACTAAGTGCGCTTACGAGGCTGTGGAGTGCAACTGTGGAGAGAAGATAGCCAAGGTTAACCTGGACAGACATAAGCGGGACAAGTGCCCGAGGCGCCAGGTGCCGTGCCGTTACTGCAACCAACCTTTCATCGCGTGCGAGAGCAAGGTAACACAAGCTGGGATGAATTATTGACTGAACACTGTATTGATGTTATATCCCCTGCAGTCGATATGTTTGGAAACTTTATTTACAAAAAATGGAATATATTTGCATAGTACCATCTTTTGATTTATTACAGTAAAAATCCATTGTCTTCTTGGGCATCACCTTTTAATAAAATACTGTTTTATTGTTATTGATATTTTAAACAAAAACTTTTTCTTATCTTTTTCTGGAATAATGCATCCTTTAACAAATAACGTTGCTTTTGCAAAGACTTGGACACAAAATCAATGGGCTTCTGCTACATACTTTATAAAGATGTGGAAAGTGGGCATTTAAAGATGTGGAAAGTGGGCATTTTTAGGAGAAAGAGTGGATATGACCAGATAAAACCATTTATATGTCATTTTTGTCAGCTGTCTTAATGTGTGCTCTCTACGCAGTCAAATGTTCTTGGCTACAATTTTAAAGTAATCGGGAAAAAATTCCACCGTTTGTTTTCGTTATAGGCACATAACGAGTTTTGTCTCAAGTTCCCAGTCCGTTGCACTCTGTGTAACTTAGGGCGAAAACTACCGAGGGATAAGGTGAGCCAAACCTTCGCGGGGAACCATCTCGAAGAATTTTGTTGAGAAATTGAATTGATAAAGTCACAATAGTATAGTTAACAATAATATATTCAGAAAATAATATATTCAGAAAATAATATATTCAGAATATTCAAAACACTACTTGTTGATATTATTGAAACCACCTCTGTTGGAACATGGACGCGATAATAAACATAAAGAAGGTGAAGTCACGTTCCTAATGATAGTTACATTTTAACAGCAACAACAACTGAACATAATATTATAGTTGTTGGTCCATATTTTTAAGTCCTTACGTCCTTTCAGATGCAGAGGAGTTAAACTTGGATATTTAGGTCGGATACAGAGATATTTATGACAGTCTTCCAAATTATCTTTGTCGATCCATCCTCCATTTTGACCGTCTTCCGACAGAAAAAATTAAACTTGAAAATATAACCGTCTTCCGGAAGACCCAGAAGGCAGCCTCAATCCGCCCCATGATATACTTAATAATAATAATAATAATAATAATAATAATAATAATAATAATAATTTCCAGATGATTGCTCACCAGGAAACCGAGTGCCCAAAGAACAAGAGAACATGCCCCTATGGCTGCGAGGTGAGTCGACACTTTACTGTTAGGCCTATATAAGATCTACTGTGAGTAAGAAAAGACGCCAGGTTGGCAGGAAGGGTAGTCCACTGGAAGCTCTAATCCATTACCCATTGCTTTGCATGGGTGATATTCATCCCGTACGCTGGTGCGGTGTGACAGGAAGTCCAAGGAATGGAAGTCCGGGGTCCCATAAGATTTATACAAGGTTAGGGTTAGTCGGAGTATTGGGGTTAGAATATGGGACGAATGTCACCTGTAAAAAGTAATGGGAAACGGAGTACAGTTCCTAGCTGACTTGCATACCTGTTACACCGGTACATCTGGCTAATCATATGGGACTTCTATTCCTATGCTTGTACAAATACTACGTTGTATTCATCCAAGTCCTATGACAATCATTCCTGTCACGACGGAATTTTATTTTGTCTCACGATTATGTAACCCCAAATTTATAACTCGATATGCTGACGACGGCTGGAGAATGTTTCAGTCTGATTATAAGAAATCACTACACTAGTTTCTGTTGTGCGTTTTTGCATTGATGGTTCCAAAAAGCCCAGGCCACTGGTTTGAGTATTCAATGACCAACAGGAGAATGTTTGCTCAAGTTAATCGTGTACTTTTTAAAATTTTGAAGTTACATGTCTCTCTATTTGGCATAGAAAGTTACAATAATTAATTTGGGAGGTCATTTAAGATATACACTCTACAACCTTTGTGAATTTTGTTAGCATTTCAATGTTTCCCCCTGCATTTTCTTTCGACATTTTGATGCAATATATGATAATAATTAAACAATTGAAATTTTGGTAAAAGATTTTCAAAAGATTGAAGCATATCTCCGAATTTGTTTTATGCAAGAATGGGGGGATTTAAGTCTAAACATATATGTATTTCCAGCTTGGTGACGGCAGTATTGAAGAACACATGGAGTCGTCCGCGGTCGTTCACCTCGACTTTCTTCGCGACAAAGTTACCATTCTTCAGATCCATGCTGACAGCGTGAGAGACGGCTCACGAGCCAGGGAGCAAATTTCTGCACGTGTATCGTGTCTCCAGGACCAACTCACAGAATGTGATCGCAAAAGAGGGGACATCGAGAAAAAGACGGAGGACGCCATGCAGACCCGAGAACGCCGAGAGAGAAGTAACGCGGAACAGTTTTCTGCTGAGGTAGCTCAGCTGACCAGCAGGAATGGCGCAATGAATTCCCAGGTAGACACGTTTGAAGGGATGGTCGCTGTCCTCAACAGAGAGGTTGAGAAAGTTTGCTGTACACTCGAGTCTTATCCGGCCCAACGGAGTCTGGATGTGGAGGGAATAGACTTCCAAGAGAGGAAAGTGAAGACCATAGAGCGCGCCCTTGCTCTTAAAGACGTGACTATGGCCGAACAAGATCTTCGACTTCAGGCTCTCGAGAATGCCAGCTACGATGGCGTCCTTGTTTGGAAGGTCAACGAATTCGCCAGGAAGCGTCACGACGCTGTCAGCGGACGGGCGACCAGCATCTATTCCAATGCCTTCTATACCGGACCACACGGCTACAAAATGTGCTGTCGCCTTTACTTAAACGGCGACGGCATGGGGAAAGGGACTCACATTAGTCTTTTCTTCGTGGTGATGAGAGGGTATTATGATGCTCTTCTCAAATGGCCATTCTCGCAGAAAGTCACTTTAATGTTGTTGGACTTAAACAACAGAGAACACGTGCAGGATGCCTTCAGACCGGATCCCACCAGTTCCAGTTTTCAGAGACCCACGAGCGAGATGAATATCGCCAGCGGTTGCCCGCTTTTCGTGCCGTTATCGCAGCTCCAGAGACCTGGCACTGCGTATATTAAAGATGATGCGATCTTCATCAAAGTTGTAGTTGATTGTAAAGATCTTTAGATGCCTGTGAAAATTAACCAGTGAATTGTTCAATTGTCTTTGACAATCTGGGAAACGGTTCTATAGATTCTAGAGTTTGGCTTTATAATAACCAGACCAGCTGCGTGCACTTCATTACCCGGCACTGAGAGTTTTATGATATATGAGAAAATGTTGCCATTGATTCATAATTACCAAAATGAACAGTAGTTACCCATAGGGAAAGGAAGAGTGGCAGACATTCATTCCATTAAAAGGAAAAAACGATTTCAAATTCGTTATTTTTGCGCTGGTATTCAAACTTTTTAACGATAAAAATAATGCAAAAATTTTGTCCTAAAAACTGAAAAATTTTTTTCATGTTACAATTGTAGCACCATTTTTATGACCGAGTTCTTTTAAGCTTATAATCAGTTCTTATTATTGCATGTGACGCCACTTACATCCAGCGGTTCTGAAAAACAAATACATGAGTATTAAATGTTTATATGCATATTGCAATAATAATTCCCTGTTTGACATGATATAAAGGTTATATAAGGATGTATTTTATGCTTTATCATACAAACAATCATACCATTTATATATAAATGTACAAATTTATCATATAAATTTCATAGCGCAAGCTAATTGATATTCCGTTGCATTTTTATCCCATATGCACATTTTAATGTTCAATAACTAAAGCAATTACTGAATCCTTGAATGTTATAATATAGATTAAATGTTTGATTTTACTTTTAAAATTGTCGTTTTGTTTTTAATTTCATATAATCCATTTTATCTAATGTATTAACTCGTGGGTTGCAACTTTACTAATAAACTATCATGATAATTATTGAAAAATATTCTGACAAGTTTAAGGCAGAAAGTTCGTCTAATAAATCATAAAATGGATTTTGTATAATAGGAAGGACCACGTGTCTAGAGTGATGTTATGATAATGATTAATAAAGGAATTAGGTTAGAAAAATATGAAACGGACATAAATCAAGCCAGTTATTATTTATTTCGTAAAAAGAAAAAAAAAACGTAACATTGGATGGGGTGATTTGATAATGGAAATAAAGGAATTATTTTTGGCAAATGGAAAGCGGAAATAAAAAAAATGCAATCCGTGCCAATAAAACAGAAAGTTAATAAGCTTACACTACTGCAGTGGTGATAGATCGAACAATATGAGCAGGATAAAAAAAAGATAAACGATAAATAATGAAATAATAATCAAAAATTAATAATGAAATAATGAAATAATAACGACATCCTTGTATATTAGATTGGCGTTTGGTTTGATGTAGTTAGACCAAGGCCGTTGGTGCTTATTTTCTCCAACAAAATGTACTGATTAGTATAAATATAGGGTTCGTCTGCCTGTAATTGTATGACCCATGTTGGTTATTGTTTACACGTTTCTAAATTTTAATGTTTATGTAGGATAGAGAGGTAATAAAAAACGCATCATACGCTCTTCAGGAAAAGAGCCACAGAATATTAAATCTTAATTGCAGCGTTCGTGTGGCGCAGTTTCAGGAATGGATTATCATTATTTTATGCTTTTTCACCATAATGATTCGATGAGAAATGCCGGTAATTGAGCTAATGTGATTTTAAAAACATTTTTGTCTATAGCTGCAATTCGAACGAAGAGAAAAGACGACGCCCTAGCATTCAATTCTTTACTGAAAGCATTTGCAAGTTGACTGCAAGAGTACACAAATCAGGTAAAGATGCGTCAGTCATCAGTTGGATATCTTTGACATCAAATCACTGTCACCTCCTCTACGATGATACGGGACACGCCAAAATGGCCAGTGAGGGCGTTGCCCTCTGGATAGTTCCCAACTTTGCATTTTCCGATGTTGAAGCCAACTGTTAGCTCACCGGCGGGAACATTGAAGCAAAGGCCTTCAACTGGAACACAAAAGCAGTTGGGATACAACATGCCCAGTTCTTATATTCTGTAATGGGGTGTTTAGAAAACTGGAGTCAATGTGTATGATATTTATGTATAAGCAAATTATTACAGAAAAGATTCTTTGTATTTGCCAACTGATGTATAAAAAGCGTATAAAATTACGCCCCACCTGACGTCGTTTTATGGAAGTTCTCAGTTGGCTCTCCGAGTTTAGTGTGTACCACAATATCTATGGCGTCTGGAGAGCTGCATTCGGCGCCATTGAAGGTGAAATACCAGCGTTTGCAGGCATACCCGCTGGAAGACGTATGAAACAGTCTCACATCACCTGACCATTTCACCCTCAATGCAGACTTCGAGCTTTTCTTTGTAATATAACACGACTGAAAGCAGAGAACAATGTGGGCACAGAAATTATGCAAATGACAAAATGATATTACTTAAAGCAGAACATAATCAGTGTCAGTGTAAGTACAATTCTTAGAAGAGGTTGACTGCTTATTTATGATAGAATTCATTTCTTTTTTTTTTTTATATGTTATATTGAAATATTAAGCTGTGGTTCGTACCTTAACAAGTCCCGATGATAAGGATTTAGCGGCCCCCATACTGCTATGGTTCCATGTGCACTGGACAATATGGCTGCCTATATTAAATTAAAAAAAAATTTTCAGAAAGTAAATCTTTTTTTAAAAAAATCAACATGTATTGTCTTATTTAAATGTCAAAATATTTAAAATGTATGATCTCAGCCTTGTCAGATTGAAAGATAAGGTTCAGTTTCTGCCAACGACTGAAAACTTTTTGGCGTTAATTGAAAAAATTGTTCCAGAGAAAAGGGCCGATTGTTCCAGTGGCAAATTCCCTTCCATACAAATACATACCTTGTGAAGCTCCTCGCTCTTTTCCAGCCTGCATCTGAACCACAGTTGACTGAAGCTGTAGAACAGAGCTCTGAAGCTGTGCCAGAAGTTGTTGTTGATTGCTGCAGACCAGGGTTTCCAAGGCATTGCACGCGTCTGTAGTGTCACACGTGCAAACGGACATTGTCAACGTGAGCGAAGCAAGAAACAAGATGGTATTTCTCTGGATTCCCATCACTGAATTCTTATCGTCTTTTTCCCAGGAGAAAATTACAATGTAGCACAGTGTACGCGCTCACCAAATTGCTTAATTCGATTGCTCTGTCAGTTTTATAGGTGATTAGTAATTAACTGGAAACCCGGATTTTGGTTCAGAAAGTGTCTCACGTGTCAACATTGTGGATGAATCAGTCGATGATCTACGTGGCAGTGGACGCTAAGTCACGTAAAACATGACAGAGTCAACATCATCTGTTATCACAAAATAGATCATTATTATTATTATTATTATAATTATAATAATAATTATTATTATAGGAGTTACTGCAAAATTAACTCACAATCTCATTCGACTTTCTCTTTCGTTCACTGTTTTCATTCTCTCACTCACAATCTCCACTCTTTTATATCTCACAACATTGCGCCAAGTTGCCCGACATTCCCTGGGCGTCAAAAACCACAGGAAAAGAAATCTTTTGGTGCAAATCTTTTATATCATAGACCACGTCTTCATAACTATTCCCACAGATGGGAAAATGGCAAGGGGAATGATTTCCATGCTGTCTGAGCTACTGGTAACAGGTGTCCCTCCCACTATATTGCATACGTCGGTCCAGGGTTTTACACCAGAACTACCTTTACTATCACAACGTGACTGATATATCGTACGTGATTCAAGAACTCATTTTATGCTTTATCGTACAACTGAAGCAATCATACCATTTATCTTTCATATGTCATACATGTAGGAGAAGCTGATTTACGTTCCGTTGCATTTTACCCCATGTGCACGTTTTTATGATCAATGACTGATTCTTTTTAAAATTTCAATTACTGAATTCTTTTCCGTGTGCAGCTGTGTTTATTAAGATTAATTGTTGTCTTCTAACTTTTAAATTGTCGTTTTATGTTCTTTATTTCACGACCCCAATTTTATCAAATGTAAAACATTGTCCAGTGGGTTGCAATTTTACTAATAAGCTATTATAAAATTTATTGGAAAAATTTTGACAAGTTTCAGGTAGAAAGTTTGCATCATAAAATGCATTGTGTATAAAAGGAATTACTACGTGCCAAATGACATTTTCCGATAATGAGAAGTAAAGGAAATGTTTAAAAATCAAGCCAGTTATTATTTATTTTGGAAATCAGAAAATGGTACGTCGAAGGTTTTGATGATAGAAAGAATGAATTATTTTTGTCGAATGCAAAATTTGAAATGAGAAAGTGCAACCTGTGCCAACAACGCGGAAAGTTAATTAACTATATATTAATGCAGTGTTGATAAATAGAACAAAAACGAGCCAGATAAAAAAGACACAATGAAAACAAAATAATGAAATAATAACTGCATTCTTGTACGTTAGACTGACGTTTGGTTTGATGTAGCGAGACCAATGACGTTGGTGCATATTATTTCCAACAAAATGTGCTGACACTTATCAATATAGAGTCCCTTTGCCTGACCTTTATCGGGTATGATTATCGAATTTCGAAAGTATACTATTTATAAAGGTAAGACAAAGAAACTATACTATTTATAGGTAAGACAAAGGGCATCATGGGCTCTCCAGGGAAACGAGCTACAGAATTTTAAATCTTGTCTGATTACAGGAATGATATATGGAAACAGCACAAAGTTTGTGTAGCAAGATTTTAGGAATGGATTATTATCATTATTATTTTTTCATCATAAGGATTCGAAGAGAAATGTCGGTAATTCAGCTAATGTGATTTAAAAAAAAATGTCTGTAGCTGCAATTCACTCGATGAGATAAGACGACGTCCTAGCATTCAATTCTTTATTGAAAGCATTTGGAAGTTGACTGCAAAAATACACAAATCACACAAAGATGCGTCTATCATCAGTTTGATATCTTTTGACATCAGATCACTGTCACCTCTTCAACAATGATACGGAACACGCCAAAATAGCCAGTGTGGACTTCGCCTTGTGGATAGTTCCCAACATTGCATTTCCCTACGTTGAAGCCAAGTGTTACCTCACCGGCGGGGACATTGAAGCAGAGGCCTTCAACTGGAACACGAAAAACAAAAAATAGTGCTGCTTTTTCAAACAAATGGTTTACAACAATTCCAGCGCTGAAATCTGCAGTGATCTCGGTACGTGGCTGCATGGATTAATGTTATATGGTAACAGTATAAATTCGGATCACAGCAAATCATCCTTCAAAATTTTATAAAATCTTGTATCTACCAATTACAAGTATGAAAATTATATACGAAACCACGCCCCACCTGACGTCGTTTTATGGAAGTTCTCAGTTGTCTCTTTAAGTTTTGTATGCACCACGATATCTATGGCGTCTGGAGAGGTGCATTCGGCGCCATTGAAGGTGAAATACCAGCGTTTGCAGGCGGCGTACCCTCCAGAGGACTTACGAAGCAGTCTCAAATCACCTGACCATTTCACTCTCAGTGCAGTCTTTGAGCTTTTCTTTGTAAACTGACACGACTGACAGTAGAGAACATCTTAGTACAGCAGAGAACATCTTAGTACAGCAATTAGGCAACTGACAAAATGATATTACTAAAATAAGTACTGGTGGCATATGTCATAGTAACAGTAACCACAGGGGCGGATTTTGGCCGTCTTCTGGGTCTTCTGGAAGATGGTCAGATTTTCAAGTTTACACTGACGGATATTTAATTTTCCCTGATGGAAGACGATACAAAATGGAGGATGGATCAACAAAGATAATTTTGAATACTGTCAGAAAATAGCTCTAGATCTGCCCCTGTGCCAGTACATGTCGGTCCAAGTTTGGCAACAAGTAAATTGGACGAAATCCAATCTGCGTCAAAAACCATTTAGGAACAGAAATTTCGCAAGTGACAACTTATTATTACTAAATGTAGAACATATATCAGTGTCAGTGTAAGCTCAACTGTTACCGTTGCAATTCTTAGAAGAGATTGACCGCTTATTTAAGATATAATTTCTGAAACTTATTTCTACACAGCGCACTGTTATATAGGAATATTAAGCTATGATTCGTACCTTAACAAGCCCCGATGATACGTATTTAGCAGCCCCCATACTGCTATGGTTCCATGTGCACTGGACAATATGATTCCCTATTTTATATTAGACATAAAGCTTCATAAGGTAATTACATATTCAAATTTCAATATATATATATATATATATATATATATATATATATATATATTATTTCAGTCAAATCAAATGAAGATTAATTTATTGGAATATATGATGTTGAGTTCCTGCCAATGACAGAAGACTTTTACACGTTAATTGAACTGATTTGTTTCAAAGAAAATGACCGTTGGTCCCAGTGGCGACTTCCCTTCCATACAGAAACATACCTTGTGAAGCTCCCTGCTCTTTCCCAGCCTGCATCTGAACCACAGTAGACTGAAGCTGTAGAACATAACTCTGTAGCTGAGACAAAAGTTGTTGTATATTGGTGAAAACCAGGGTTGCCAAAGCATTGGCCGTAGTGTGACACTTGCAAACGGACATTGCCAACGTAAGCGAAACAAGAAACAATATTTTTCTGTAATCTCATCGTGTTTTTCCCAGGAGAAAATCACAATGTAGCACAGTTTATGTTCTCGAGTAAATGGTTTTACTTACTTGCTTTGTCTGTTTTATAGGTGAACAACAGTAAACTGGAAACCCGGATTTTAGTTTAGAAAGGGGCTCAGGTGTCACGAAGCAAAATCAGTCGTTGATCTACATGAAACTGGACGCTAAATAACGTAAAACGATGGCAGAATCAACAATGTTAGTAATCAAAAATTGAATTGAAGTATGAGGTTACATGTATGTAACTTGTTCCCACAGCACACTTCACGAAATAACACATCAACATGTTAACTGACAAGAGAAAGTTTCTGACGAAGTTAATGATATTGTAACCCTTCATTATCATCCAGAAATGAGGGTCTTCCTGCATCTAACTATTCAGTAATGCATCTATCTTTGTGCCGAATAAAATCAATAAAAAAACCCTCGAAAATATTAAATTTGGGTCTTTATATTTCTCGTTGCAATCTACATAAGCATACGTGTGTCGTTATGTTTCATTGGTGTATGACATAAATTGGTTTCACATCTTACTTATGTTTTTAAAAACTGAATAGATTCAAGGGTGGATCCAGGATTATTTGAAAGGGGAGTCCGTGGATGCAAAAGCGACCTTCCACCCCCTTCCATGGCTGGATGGCACCGAAAATTTTTTGTATTTTAGAGGGCAAACAGCTATTCAGCTATTCAGCATTTTAATTTCAACAGGGGACCATTTGTGTGATTTTTTTTTTCAGAAATCGAAGGGAGGGGGTCAGGACCCAACCCCCTAAATCCGCCACTGAGATGATTATTATTATTATTATTATTATTATTATTATTATTATTATTATGTGAGTGACGCAAAATAAACTAACAGCCTGACTCACTCGCTCACTCTTCCATTCTCACTATCACATTCTCCTCACTTGTATATCTCACACCACGGCACAAGTTGCCCGACACTCCACGGGAAAGAAATCTTTTGGTGGAAATCTTTTATATCAAAGACCACGTCTTCAAAACAGTTCCCACAGCTGGGAAAATGGTAAGGGGAAGGATTTCCTGAGATACTGGAAACAGGTGCTCCCTCCCACCATACCGCATACGTCGGTCTAGGGTCCTGCACTTACTCTACCTTTACCCACACAGCATGGCTGATACATTAGCCTGCTCACTGTGGCCAGGTGAGGCGATATTTTTTTCATTTATGCGTGTTAATGATCAGATATCAAAACTACCAGTGGGTAAGGGCGGTTTTTCTCATTACCGGGCTAAGTGGTGGGGCTGGGACCTTTGATCCCGCAGCAATGATGCATTCGCCAATGATGGATGTACTAGAGTCTATAGAGTACGAGGTGGTAAGTAAGTAGTCGTGTTGAACACACACACACACACACACACACACGGAACTTCTGCACACAAAATAAGCGTGGCTTTTCACTGTTTTGTGGAGAACTCTGCATAAAAAAATCCTAGTAATATCTGATGCACGAACCATGCATCATAAATGCACACGTCACATCATGATCAAGTGTTTATTGGTCAAAATAGTCGTGAACGCGTCTTCTGGGGTTCTACGCCATGTAATTGTCTTTTTTTTAACAAACACAACATTTCAATATCTTGTGGATTACTGAAAGTGAACATCTTTGAATGTCTGTTACTGATAACAACCAATTAAGGGGGGACTTGGTATAATGTTTTTGGGAAAACAAGAAATTCTCATCAATTTTCTGCCAAATCTAGGTATTTTTACTCATACTGGCACGTGTCAGATAATGATTGTCACTTAGCAGTCGTCGAGATGGAACATGCAATACTCACATCTTGACACTACGTTTAGACTTTATATCACACCTCTTCTCTGAATAATGTAATATCTTCGAGGAGAGGTGTCACGTTTAACATTTTATTTTACCTGTATCTGCTACTAGTGGTAATTTAAAAGAATATGATGTTATCGTTAATAACCTCCCATACATGGTATCCTTTAATCAACGTGTCAACACTGTCTTGTTTCTCCCCCCTTTTTTTTGCATTTTAGCACCACTGTGTTTCATTTGGCTATTCATATCTAGTGATTTCATTAAAACATTATCGAAACCGCAATGCATTGGTGTAATTGCAGTCAAAATGTGTAGGCAAACGATAACGGATGTGATTAAATTTCTTCATAATGATAAATAATTTTCTAGATTCTTTGAAATGAATGTGTTGTAAACATACTAGGGCTGATGGACCGTGGGGCAAAATTTCAGCTGTTTCTTTTTTCTACATATAAATACTGCAGATGAAAAAAAAAACAACTCTCTCTCTCTCTCTCTCTCTCTCTCTCTCTATATATATATATATATATATATATATATATTGGTTTTTGTTTTAATCGCCCTAGATTGTTTTGCATCCCGCTCTTTTGCTCAACAACAGTAAGTTGACCAACACCTCAAGAATGAACATTTAATGTGACGTGTGTGTTAACGTTTCACTTTTGTAACTTATGGAGAATTGAAAGATGCACACGCAGCTTCCTTGAAGTCTCTTGGTCTAGGAAGTGTCAGACAAGGTGTAAACTGGTCGTTGTCTTATATCAGATCCAAAACCAGAGCCAGCTGTCAAGGCGTTTTCCACATAATTTAAACAGGCGTATTCTCGCGCATACGAGCACGTACCCGGTGCAGGGTGTTATCTTCTCCGAATTGTGGTTCAAGCGATACTAGCGCAGGAACCCCAATACATTTTCTTTGATGTCTGGTAAATGTATTGGAATTCTCTGGGATCACAAAATCGCGGCCGTGAATTTTTCGAGGATTTGGATGCTTCACCAAAACTTTGCTGTTTTACGTAGTTTACAAAGCAAATGTGTATGGAGGCCTTCTCATTAGTTTTTACTCTGTTAAAGTAGTTTGAAAAGTATTTAAATATTTCCAACATATTGCTTTGATTATATTTATAATGCATTTATTACTCTATCAGTTTATTTATTTATCCAGTACTTTATTTATCTATGCGTAACTCGGAAAATAGATTGCATGCACACCTATTTGTTGCAGGTGAGATGTTAGCTCTGTTGGAGAGGAGGAGGCAAGATTTGTCAAGGATGACCGTATTCGGCTTCTGCTATGGTGATGTTGTGGGGGCGGGGGTGCGAACGGTCCTAATAAAAACCGACGCGGCGGGAGAGGTGTTCCCAGAACAAGGGAGATTAAGGAAAGAAGCCATAGATACCAGTTAAAACGGTAAGTAAGCAGGACGTTGTGCTCAGAGTACCTGTTTTGCTATTACTGCAGGAAGATATTGCAAGACAATGACGGGATGTTATAACGTTGTTTGTAAAGTTGCTGTATTAATTACTGTAAAGAAACCAACTTTTATCATATTCATAAAAATAATATTAAAACGATAAATTTCAATAAGAACAAGTAAAAAAATCACTAACTTTCTTGTAAAAGATGATGATGGACGTTACGTGTGTCCCCATAGGTATTCACTTATAATGGGCGACTTCTTTGATGCATTTACATAAGCGCCGTTTTGTTTTCAAAAATGCCTCCTTCCTTTTCAGATATGGGCGAGTACGGATCCATCAGCTTTTGTACGAGATCTTTTGTATTTGGGGCATTTCTTTTGGTTGGTTTGGGAAAAGTGGAAAGTGCAACACTTAAAGGGACTTTTCCACCCGTGCCACTAGGTAGGTACCAGTTGGTAGTGCATCATTTGGACCATACCCTGACACTGTACTATGTTTATTAAATACACACAATGGGCAATAGAAAAGTGTCACCCCCTGAATCAGAGTAATCAAATAATCAAGTAATCAATAATCAAAGTAGGCAGATTTTGAGTAGTTATAATACCTGGTCTACATTTTGTGTTGTTGTTTTTTTTTTGGTGAAATTTGATGTTAATAAAATGATACCAGGAGCATATCATTCCACAGTCATTTATATCTCCCCCAAAGTATTGGTTCAGTAGGGGTGACACTTCTAGACACTTCTATTGTCCAGTGGGTGTACATGGTGGTACACTTCTCTGTAAGAAAGCCGCCTTGCCCAAAACCGTTTTTAACCTTTAATGATAAAGTTTAAAATGTGTTTATAAAATGAATTTTGATTTGTGTTGATGGTTTCAATAACATTCAGAATCAAGATTGTATTTTTTTCTACAGAAGACGTTTCAGTGACGACAGAAGAACAAATGCCAAGAAATCTGCCAATGGCCACCGCTATCAGAATGTCAACCAAGAAGATCTCTGATACTCCTTCATATCGAACGAAATTATCTTCGAAAGTGAAAACTGCACCAACAAGAGGTTCATACCCACTAACGATATACGAGCACGGCCTTGGCCTTTACCGAGTGCAGAGAAGCATCCAAAAAAGCAAAGATAAACACTCAAATCTGAAATATACGCGCATGCGCGATCGTCGTTTTGCTCGGAACTCCAGAAAAGGAAGATTTGAAGAGGGCTGTGATCCCACAAACCTTGTTTCATTACAGGATTATTTGGATTTCATTCGGTCCAGGCGAAAATGTCTACGTAAATATCATTTCAGGAGGGTTCGATTTGGTATATGATATGACGGGGATGTTGTGCGGCATATTTTTTTTCTGTGAATCAGATTCACGAGTGACAAGCTGACCGTACAGAAAACAGTAGGGTCAGGAAACAACCGACTTTTTGGACGGTGTGACGTAACAGAGAGTCCCCCATGAAAGAGATTCCGGTTCCTATATATTTTTAAATTTGCACGTTTCTATACTTTCCAGAAACAAGTATATTTATCACAACCGTACGGGAATGTTGATATGCTTTTGTTTTGAATGTTCTTTATTGAACTGCCTTTGAGTTTAATGTCTAAAATAGATCGATAAAGACATTAGACCTAGTACATTCATATATTTTTCATGTGCAATTTTTCGGGGATTTGAAGAACTTGAAAAGGCATACCTTTATTAGGATATAGATTTATTTATATAAATAAAATGGTATAGAGAAATGAAAATGGAAACGCCTTTGTTATTTTGTTCAGAGCGTTCATCATGGGCCTTTTCCCCCTCCATCTTTGCTAAAGCTTTAATTTTATCTTAAACTGTAATTGGTTTACCATACATAATTATCATTCACAGATTTATATTTATCTGTCTGTATTTTAGATTCGTATATGTGTATTAATCAAAGTACAAATGTCAATAAAATGACATTTTCGACTAACAACTATATAATTCTGTTGTATCTTTAAAAAACCAAAATTTTTGACAGGTAACTAGCCCCAGAGACTCCTCTTAATTCATGCACAAATAAAATATATTATCCATGCAAAAAGAGATCTGGTCAGTTGTATTATATCACAATTAAAATGTAATAAAATACGCATAAGTAAAATAACGATATTTGGTGAGATCGTTCTCTATTAGTAGCCTATATAATGGTATTTGGTCCCTTGACTGGCGATTGCAGAATATACATGACACCATTAAAACTTACGTGTTATTGCTGAGAGTGACTTAAATCATGCGATGTTATGGCATACTGCATCTACATAACGTAATTACAGTCAAAAAAGTTGAATTGGCTTTAAAAAAACTTGTGAGCAGAACCTGCACCTCTCATTGCCAAAATATATCTTATAACATCCAGAGCCAAAACTCAAGCATTTTTGTACATCTAGCACCAACATTACATAAAATAAAACGATATTTTCTCCTAAAAAGAGGGTGATTAACAACTATTCCCCCACTGGCCCTATCCTTATCTGAGCCCCCCCCCCCCCCTCCATTGTAAAGGAGTAATTTTTATCATGATCAAATTTACCTAAAAAAAGAGGTATATTAACAAAAATGTACACTTTTTAAAAGACGATTTCTTGTCCTACCTCACATAACTGAGAACAACCAATGACTTGAAAAAATGAGACCAACAAATGATGAAAACAACCAATTGTTTAAATAATACCATCGCCAGTGCACTTAAAACCCATGATGTATAGTAGTCATAAATTTAAAAATTGAGGAAAAACAATGTTTGTATACAATAAACCCAAACGTATATGTGATAACAATTAAGTAATACTTATATTTAATATATAGAACATTTAAAGACATGCCTAAGCCGGGTACACTACATATTCTGTAGCTTCGTCTTTGCCTTGAATTATGCCACTTATGAAATATGGGAATGAGCATCAAGTTAAGATGGCAGATGAAGGTAGTGGTTAAATAAACAGAGCCATCAGTTAAATTTGTATGTGAAACAATGAACGCTGAATGAAATGTGAGTTTATAAAGGACTGTATGATGTTACAGTTGCCACAGATAACATTGTGTTGCAGTCTATCCTGTATTTCATCAGTGTGTCGAATTTCTTAATTTTCCTATAGTAACGCTATCTTCCTGGCCTATGAAATGGCGGATTTAGGGCCTATCCTTTACCACGACCTCACCTATACTACCTATTTCTCTGACTTAAGAATATCTTAACTACCAGTTTAACAATTAACTATTATTTCAACAGAAATCACAGCTATGGTGTGGAAAAATGACAAAAATGGAGAGACATTCATATTGGAATACTTTGCAAATGCATTTCAGGCTTGCAACATTATCTAACTCAATCTCGAGCGGACCAGGGACTTCTGTTAATTTTATTTGTTTGCAATGCCTGGAGTCTCAAAGCCTCCTCCGTATTATCCTTATCACTAAAATTGTGAACCAAATTGTTGGAGTCGATGATTGTTCACCGTAAATGGTGAACGCAGTAAAACGTAGTAAAACTGTAGGCAGTGTTAAACGCTGAATCTAGGTTGATACCAACATTTGCATTATTGAAAACTACTGGTCTCCATCATGTATGTTGTCTATAGTGCTGACTGATTAAACCACTGCTAGTATTCATGTCTATTCACGTTATGCACAATCCCTTTCAAAATCTTGCAGCTCTTAGAAAAATGACCTTGTATACCAAAGACGACGGTATCCAGCTTTTTTTCCCTTTCTCTTTTTTAAAGGGTAACATTTTAACACCTGGGAACAGCGAACATGATGTCAAACAGAGGTGTGTTAGTTGAGATACGAATGAGAAATGGGAACAATCACTGAGGCATCCAACACGAAGCTGATCACTGCTCGCAAATGCAATTTTTGTTGTCTCTTTGAAGCCGAGATAAAAATCCACTTCATAGTAAGCTACTATATATAGCCTTTAGCTTCCATCTCCATCGTTTCCGGTGGGCCTCTGGAAGACAAAGAGAACAAAAAGCTTATATGTCCGTAATGTATATCAAAAACGAGAAAGAGAGAGAGAAAGAGAGAGAGAGAGAGAGAGACTGTATGTCACTTTCCTCACAAAACATCTTGCATAAAACAGGTTTTATTACCAAATAAACACCAATATTTATCCGGCCACATTTTGCTGAATCAGAACGCTGTGGTCGTAGTCAAATTTTCCCAGCCCCTTCCCCTACTCCACCATCACCCACCCCTCGACAATATGTGTATGGAATTTATTGGGGTATTACTTACACATGATCTCTGTCGTGGTCTGGAGGAGGCGGCTTCTTGGCCTGTTTCTTGCACCACCATATAGAGAAAACCACAGCCCCGATAAGAAGTAGGACAACCACCACCACACACACGACTACGATGATGGTGTGGTGATCTTGATCTTGACACTGGTCTCCTATATAGCCGTCAGGGCATCTTCAATATAATATAATATAATATAATATAATATAATATAATATAATATAATATAATATAATATAATATAATAAGAATGCAACAAGAAAATGGTCACTGTATTGGAATTTAAACAAAGATTAAAATTGAGGCAGAGAAAAACACACGAGGAACCATGAAGCCGATCTGCAAAGAAATGTTTGAGAATAATTTCAATTTCAGTTAGTTGGGCCTTCGTTTACCTCATTTACACTGGTAATTCTAAAACAAATTTACTCACGTGCATTTAAAGGCTGCGTTCACGACCGTACATGTTCCTCTGTTTTTACAGTACCCAGGTTCGCACCACATTTGAGCTGAAGTTGAAGGAAGATAGAAATACTATGTTAAAAAGCGCGTTTTGATCTTCGTTTTTGTATTGAACGCCACACAGATGTTACAAGAGTTAATGAGTCAACACTTCTTATATTATACTTTGGAGACAAACCCATTAAGTTGCATTAAGTAATTCATGCAATTATTATGGATAATAACGTTTGTTTAAAGAAATTTCAACAGGTTCTATTTATACATATACATGTATAAGTACTCTCTGATTATATTTTATAACAAGATCTAACTACATTTTAACACGAAGTACGCCTCTATCCCGCACAATTGCTTAGCCGTTTACGTTTCTGAATTCATTACAAAGTCCTTTAAAAGGGATGACAAATGACAATCACAAGTGGTCTATGAATATATTTAACTTTGTATTAAAACCGCAGCATACACAGGACGTCTAGAACCCCATGACGTCACACTGATTGAGGAAGAGTCCTCAGGAATTCGAATTATTTCCACTGTCGTGTAAGGGCGTTTCTGAACACATGTTCCAAAAAGGACATTTAGACGCACAATATGCTATTTCACGGCCGATTTATTCGTTGTCAAAGGAGTCACAGTTCACAAGCTTACCAGTAGCACTTTTAATTCTTTAGATATATCATAACATGTACATGTAGTGCGCTGGTATGATAATACATCAGCGTAGGTAAACTGTCGAGTATATTATAATATAACACACCACGCACAATACAAGCAGCTTGGCGCACAGGTATGCATAATTGATGAACAGAAACGTTTTACATCAACATTTCTGATACACGCCATGGCACCGAGATAAAATGAGAGAGAAATCAAACTTTCAGATACAGTTATCTCATACATGTATTTGAGAAAGAGTGGGCCTCAAATAAGATCACGCCGCCAGGTCTCTCATCCACATGTGAACGGCGTGATGGACTCCAGAAGAATACTACACTGCGCTAGTAGCCATGTCGTCTATCGAATACTTAAATACTGTATAAAAACATAAACTGCATTCCCCACGTACTAAGTAAATGACGCTCTCTGTGTGTATCAAAAGGGCAGCATAGCTTTCAATGGGACATTGTAAAAGTTCGTATAACAGCCTACCGTCATACACGTAATAGGCCTAATTAAGTGATCTGCTGATATCGTATTAATAAAACGGCGTCTACTGCAGGAGCGTAAGCTGCGCCGTCTGGGGGCAGATGAAGATAACATGTAAATGATAACAGTAAAACCCTCGCTCTATACGTTCACTCATCTAAATAGATCTCCTGAGAGAGTCAAAATACGACATGTTTGTCTCTGTCTTACCTGTCGTCTGAGTCGATGTCGCCATCTTGCTTGTTTGTTCACCTGCCGACCTTCATTTGACCTCACCTGTGTCACCTTAACGTTAAGTGCAGTTGTGCAGGTACGCTGTAGTATGTCTATTAATAATACACGGATAAAAGATGAGTCAACAGTGATGTCGGTATAAACCTATCGTCATCATTTAAGGAAGGTTCAGTCTCAACAGAATCAGCAACATGAAGCTAGTGAACGTGACATGAGTCTTTCTTAAATCTTCTAAGATTAAAAATTTAAAGGATGCAATTAACAGCACTGAACTTTTTCAGTAAATTTTTCTTCTCAATCTCAACTATTTGGTTTCAATCCAAATTAGGATTGGGGCAATCAAAAGGCTTACAAATTATCTAAGTTGAGGCAGCCAAGAATTCTAAAATTATATTGCCAATAAATACAATTCCATCAATCAAAACTTGCGCTGACTTGCGGGAATTCGTCACCATAAAATGCGGTTACCATTCTTCTGCGTGAATATCTTAAGTCAGCGGTTCTTCAAATAAATTGTTCACCGGCAAAATTGCACATGTGGGTTTAATTATTATTTGATTAACGTCACTTCTAAATCACCAACATCGTCAATTTTTTTGAAAACTAAACGTGTTCATAATCTTAAATATAATTTTTGTTTGAAATGAATGAACACATCAGTATAAAGGCGATATCCGTTTATTTATTTATTTTTTTTTTTTGCTCGTACAAATGTATGTGCGTGAAACGTACGGCTTTTGATAGTACAACGTCGATTCTCCTTGGAAGAAAACAACTTATAGACTATAATGACACCCGCCACTAAAGAAATTTTACAACAGAAAAACAAAAACCTATAAAGAAAAGATAAAACGATCTCTAGGTATACTATGAACTCGTAATCATAAGGAAAAGTAATAAGAATATAGAAATAGATCATTCATCATCTGTCGAGTTATCCTGTTATCAAACCGTGTAAGACACAGACCGACTGACAGATGGACACACAGACGGACAGGCCCGAGCGCGCGCGCGCGCTTACACACACACAAATCATAAGGGCACACTGAGAGAGAGAGAGAAACGTAATTTAACTTCAACGAAACTTAGAATCAGTACCCAATGTCACAAAAATGTAACATTTTATAAAATTTAATAAATGTCTATTTCCCCCTGATAGGGTAAATAACATTTTCAAGTTTCCTCCCTCCTGGTCTCGAGCTTTCATCACAAGCTGAGCTAAGCTGACAGTTATCTAGTGAAACTCCCCACGGGGATAGATCGATCTAAAATCTGTCGGAATGGGGTCTATAGTGCATGGCATTGTAGCAATTTGACCATGGGCATTCAAGTTCTGGATTCCGAATGTTTGGGTTAAGCGGTTTGTCCGCAACAGGCAGCTATATAAACATTTTTATATGTTAGAAAAAACAAAAAGCAAGTTTAAATGTACTATACCATCCGCACAAATATAAATAATTCGAATGGCATGGTGAATTGGCACTTGGTAGTTTCACGTACAATGAGTTGCCCTATTGTTAGTGCAAATACAGTAACAAATTTATGTGACCTTCATCGATGGTGTTTTGAATGCTTAAAGTCAACAGATTTAAGCAAATAGAGAGTGACCGATGCGGGGTTTATCTCATTGATAGGTGTCTGCATAGCTTACGTTAAATCAAAGTTTGTAACTACAGTAGATCAAGGTCGCACGTTATGTTTTAACCCTTTCATCCATCTGTGGGTTGTCCAGTGCCTCGGACCAGTTCTAATTGTCGTGCCTGAGAAAATTATTTAAACCTCGCGATATGAAGATCACTAAAATATCTGTTTATAAGGTTATTTTGCCTTTGAAAGACGGTCCTATTGTTTATGGCGATGGAAAAGTTAACGATAACTTTGACAGCACAGTAGTCAAAGTGGACACGGACGCTGGAATCTCTGGATTTGGAGAGGTACGGAACGCTTTAGAAATAATGTTTCAGATTTGAAATCCGTTATGTATGCAAATTCTTATATTTCAATACATTTAAAGACTTTACATGTACCTAATAAAGTATTGTCGCAATGTTAATATTGAGATAACCTTTACCGTTTTCTGCCACTTGCTGAACACCATATATGCCTTACTGGCAGACTGCCGTCAGTAAAGGTTTACAGTGTACCCCAGGCTGATGGTGGAGGGGGGGGGGGGGGGGGGGGGGGGGGGGGGTGTAGGGGGGCGTCCCCCTTTACCCGTCTTTAAACATATTTGAAAAAAAGCAAACAAACAAAAGTAGAAATATGCAAAGAAGCAACGAAAAATAATTCTCGATATTATCCACCTACATGTATATGTAGACTATGACTGGGTTCCCATACATCTGGATCGACCCAACTCCCTGGGGTTTACGCTAAATTGCTATCAGCTCAAGAGGCTTAAATGTCTGTCACGCCTACCAAATCAGCTAGGGGTAAAGATAATTCCCCCCCCCCCAACAGCTTTACTAGGCGTGACAGACGTTTAAGCTGGTTATTTTGATAGCAATTTAGTGAGACTCCCCAGGGAGATAAATCAATCCAAATATCTGTGGGAATGGTCCCTTTGTTTATGCACAGGCTTTGTTGACTTAAGCTATCCTGGGCAGTGTACGTGTACATATATATATAGAAACAATCCAAATCTCCCACGAACCGGTACTGGTACATTTACGCAGCAGCTTATCGGGTGCGCGGGAGGCTTTAGATCAACCAAAACGGACTGATTACGTTAATCAAAACACCGCCAAACTATTTTGGGTATTGAAGCGTTTTGCTTAAAGGGAAATCGCTGTTTGTTATAGGCGTGTCTTTTTTTATTCTCTAAATACAGCCAGATTTGTGGGAGATAAGAAGCATGGAAAACAAAAATGTCACGCTTAAATTGCAAAATGTTACAAATTAAAACACGAAGCAATGAAGAAAAAAATGCCTATATCCCTATACTGCATAGGGAAAAGTACGGAGAACAAATAATGAGTATCAGGTGTGAACACATCTTAGCTTTTAAAATAAAATTTTCCCTTCTTTGTGGTCAACCATTTTTTATTGTATGACACCTACATGTAAATTGGACATTTTTCTCTTTACTTAAAATACCATTACTGTTCAATTTAAAATTATCTTTTTAACTTTGTACTTTATTTATGGATTTAGGACTCTTATTAAATAAATAAATAAACAAACAAATATATAAATAAATAATAATAATAATAATTAATTAAAGACCATTTCGTATCTTTTTTAATTTTTTATGTTCAAAAATGTTAACATCTTCAAATATACCGTTAACACAGATGTAGATGCCTGTTTTAACATGTCAGAACTGTTGCTGCCTCGTTGACAGGGATGTCCTTACGGCCCGAGCTACATGCCCTCCCACCCTAAGGGAATACTGGCCGGGCTGGAGGAACTGGGACCCCGCGTGCTGGGACTTGATCCTTTAGAAATAGGTGAGTTTATCCTTCACGGTAAGTGCCTTGTGCAGTGTGATTTCAACATAGGGGCAACCACGCTTTGGGGAGGAAAACCAGGCACCGCGTTATTGGAAACGGTAGAAGCGTGCCGAAGGGGTTTCCAGCAATCCCTGAGCATTTAGTGTAAAATCAGTAATGGTACAGGCATTAAGAAAACGTGCAGTTTAAATGGCTACTGTGGAAAAAACTTGAACACGCGCGTACTGAAATGTGGTATTTGACTTTTACCCGAGCCTTTAATAAAGCCATAAATTATGTAAATTGTACAGCACAATATTAGTCGATATACAAAATTAGGCGTTAATAAAAAAAAACTGAAATGTGCTAAAGAAAGAGTTCATTTTCAGGAAAGATTAACACCATAATGGACTACCACCTCAAAGAACATTACGATGTTAAGTCCCCTATCGACATGGCCTGTTGGGATATACTGGGCAAGCACAGCAAGCTGCCCCTCTGTACGCTGCTTGGCGGACGCTACGGAGAGTCGGTGAAACTACATTACCACGTGGGACAGAATACCCCGGAAAAAACCAGGGAAATTGTTACAAGGTTTAAAAACGAAGGGTTCGAGTGTTTCCAGGTGACCATTGCATTAATTATTTCCGTTTCAAAATATATGTGACGAGATGTTTAAAACGGCCTAGATAAATAAATAAAATGCGGAAAAGGGAGTTACAATTTTTCCAAGTGGCATTAGCAATTTCTAATCTAACACGATTTATTTAAACTAAAGCGTACGGATACACCTCAGATAACCATGGCAACCAAAGAGCGTAGTTGAACGGCCAAACGAAACATCAACAACTCCCAATAATATGACACTATTCATTACATTTCAGCTTAAAGTCGGCAGTAATCCCACACAAGACATTCAGAGGGTGCGCGAAATCCGCAAAATGCTGGATCCCTCAAACATACTCATGGTGGACCCAAACACCGCCTGGCTTCCCCATCAGGCCATACGCTTTGCCAACGCCGTCCAGGATCTAGACGTGTACTTGGAGCAGCCGTGTGCCAGCTACGAGGAGAACCTGCACGTGCGCAGATACACCAACCTGCCGTTTATCCTGGACGAAAGCACGGTCGACGTGGTCCGTCTGATGCAAGGAGGATTGGGTCAAGTGGCCCAGGGGGTGGTGCTGAAGATGGGCAGGCTAGGGGGTGTGACCAAAACTAAACAAGTATGAACAAAGTCGAATGTTTAATTCTCGTACATATGCGTCAGACTTTTCGAATAGCAAATTGTTAGCGGTGTGACAGGAATGGTATTCCGCTAGGAACAGTGGCCCCCAATTTTTGTACAGATGAAATCAATCCCATATACTCACCCAATACTGTGATTAACCCTAGACTGTAGTTAACATATGGGACCCGGACTTTCATTCGTAGGACTACCATTCCTGTCACACCGACTGTAAATAATACCAAACGGATGTCATATTCTAGTTTTAATCTCTTCAGGCAAGGGACCTGTGTGTCAACCTTGGCATCGCTGCCAGAATTGAAGACCCCTGGGGAGGTGAAATCGCTTCTGCAGCCATTGCCCACCTGGCCCACAGCACCCCGGAAAAATACCGCATACCGTCTATAGATCTCAATAACTACAACTCTGTACGTTGACTACTGTGCTTTTTATTTTTATTACTTTTTTTCTGGTCATGATTTTTTTCATTTTATTGTGTTTTACCCCACCTATGTTCCTTTCCCTCTTATTCATTGATTAACTTGATAATGAATGACAATGACACTTCATTTTTACCCTTTCATTTGTGTAAAATGATTTAAGATCAATCAATATAAGCATATCGTCTACTGAATACCATTTAAAAGAAGAACCCTGAACGCACACGTTTGTCATATTCTTCAGGTTAAGATTGCTGAAGGCGGACCAGTGAGAGTGAATGGAACAATAGCCGCCAATAAAGGTCCCGGATTGGGAATTACCCCCTGCATGGATGTCCTCGGTGATCCTGTTCTCACAATGTAGTGCGTGTACATGTGCACGATATCTTCAAAATGACCCTTTTTCTCCCTGAAGTTGTTCTTTAATTTTAATATTTGAAGGCGCCACAAAGTATCACAATACCAAAAAAGACTTCATCTTTGATTAAAAACACCATAACCAGCGCGTGAGATTTGCGAAGTATAAAGTGTGTGCAACCCTACATTAACTCTGCCGCCATACCTTATACCATCTAATAAAATTGAAAAAAAAATATTTAAAAAAATTTGATTTTTTGAACGATGCTCAATAATCTGATCATCCACTAGTAGGCAACCAACAGCAGATACTGACAGATTGAAATTGAGCACCTGCGTTCTACACACAATATGAATCGTCACTAGATTTGTTAATAATCATTAGGTTTCCTGTCGAAATCTCAAAATATAGATATACATTAAGTATCAACGTCCCTTAACTGAATTGTGCATATACTCCAATGAAAGGGAGTCATCATTTATTATGCGTTGACGAACCAAGGTTTGAATGTGCCAGGCTCACTGGGTGGAAACTGAAAAAGGAATACTTATCATTACAATGTACTGTTACTTTTATTAAATTTTAAGTTAAATAACTTAACAGACGACTAGGACAGAACTCAAACACTGCAATTACATGTATCTGTGTCTGAACATTACGACTACGACTTCTACTGGGTACTACAGCCAGCGAATCGAGGGGTGAGTGAGAAATATGCTGAGAAATATCATTGGATTTACTAGCTCGAAATAAAATGTATTGTTTATTGTGTAATTTCATACGATGTAAGAACGCGTCATAAGTTTTTGCGTATCAGTTAATCTAAGGACAAAATGATTTAATAGTTGGTACCTGTTTGGTGAACTGATCCTCGCACGCCATTCTGATTCTCTCTGACGTAGCTGGACTGTCCAATCGAAACGTTCGTGACTTGCCAGCGTCTGCACGCGCAGAACTTATTGCATCCTTAATGGCATAAAAGACTGACGCTGCTAACATCAGGGGAGGCTCGCCAACACCCTGATTGAATGACATGAAACAGAAATAAAAAACATAATTCTACAAATTATATAGCAAGATTGCTGAAGTATATTGATAATGATAATGAAAAAGGGAGCTTTCATGAATTTAATAATGAGGAATGAGCAAGAGCGTTATGTTATTTCAACAATGTGATATTTCAGCATCATTTCAATATTTTGATCTTTGTTCCACAAGATCTAGAACAACCAAGATGTTCTTACCTTAGAGGAATATATCGCTCTTGGATTCGAAGCCCCCTTCAGGAAAGAAACATTGAACACTCCTGGAATATCACCACATCCGGGTATCTTATAACTTCCGGGACCTCGGTTGAGAAGGCTTCCTTCAGGAGAATATTTGAGGTGTTCCAGCGTGACAAACCCGTAACCCTTTAAAAGTGAAGCAACCATAAGGGGTTGTATGTACCGGTATTAAACTTTTAAATATACTTTGATCCAAGGAAACTAAACAAGGTGTCTGACAAATGATAATAAACATTAGATACCATTAGGAAACACCATTTACCATAACGCAGCATTCCAACAGCACATGTTTTTTAATAAATGTAATATGGCCCTGATTTAGGTCAGTTAATGGATGATGTATCTTGATTTATAATTCTCAAGAAGCCTGTATACAGTGACTATAACTGAAAATGGGGTAAAATCGACTCTCTCACACTATATCTTAGTACCCATACAATTACAATTTACTCAACAGGCTGTTTAATTACGAATGCCAACTACAAGAGGATAAATCAATCCTTGTGCGCACCCAGCCACTTACACTGAGGTAAGTCTCGGGTCGTTATGCTGGTTTCTTTCTGACTACGTTTACAAGTGGCACATAAGGCCTGCTGGTATATCTTGTAGTACACACCAAGTTTGGTCAACCCAATGAAAACAAGCCTAAATATAGACGCACCCACACACAGGTGCGCAAACTAATCTTAATTACCTGCAGAAAGGCCCCCTCTATCTGGCCGATGTCAATCATTGGGTTCAAGCTCTTCCCCACGTCCATGACAATATCTGTTCGCCGCACCTGAAATTATGCCATTCCAAAGTTGGACTATTACTATTACCCGAAGCAAAATAGTTATAAACTCTTTGTGTTTTGTCTTGCAAAATTAAAAAAAAAAAAATATTCCTCTGGTTTGATAATTGATACATTGTACATACTAAAATATAAGACGGTAAAGGCTTATTGTATTATCTTCCATTGCCATCTTATAATTCAAATGTATAGATTAGTGCCCCATCCTACAACGGGCTTGCAACCGCTGGGAGAAGGAATTTTGCCCCCCTCATTCCATTTGAGTGGGGCTTTGACAATATTTGACAGCCAATATGGAATTCAGTCATCAGTAGCTTTTTTTTTTGTTTCTCTTGTTTCACATTTATGAGACTGGACCAAATTTCGTTCCGAAAAGCAGTCTCATTCGGAAGCCCAAAGTGAAACAGCTTTTTAAAACACGGCATATTCACCAAATAATCTCAACAATTTGAACACTTAAAGAAAATCCTTTCTGCGTGGAATCGAGGCAATATCTTTTAAAGAAAAAACAGCGCATACATACCACGTGACTTCCGGTCAGGCAGTCTATCTCCACTTCTGTGCACGCGGCGCCAAAGGTGAAGTAATTGAACCTCATCCCAGTATTGGTTTTGGGATCGTAGCCAACATCTGGGGTCCTGGATAGGGGATGAAATACGCTGCTTAATACGCTGTTTAAAAATTAGTTTCAAAATAAAAGAATGGTCAGCTGTTAACGTGCAATTCGCAGAAAAACGAATTTATAATGTGTTGTGGCATGTTGTTTCACAAGTCTAGAATTGTCCGAAAATACCTTTGAGATTCCTAGAGGCGCAAAGTGTTTTGTTTTGTGAGATGGAGGTATGCACATTCACGACGTCTAACGAAGGCGCGTGTATTGATACGAATTTGACTTAAACCAATACTTACTTATAGAACCCTGTGGTAGAAAGACTGACTCTATCCATGTACGCCGCTCTAACCTTTAATTTGACAAGATTATATTGTCATTGAAAAGGACAATGTAGTTAAGATTTTGTGGAATATCTTGGGCAATTGTATTCATAAGCTTCAATGGGCGTAACATCTTAAAGAACAACTTAAATCTAACATTATGTGAAACAACGTGTTGATCAGGAAAATTGGCTTGTTCACAGAAACTGTGAAATTCAAGTTGATTGTTTTTTCTAGACATAATAAGGTGACAGCTTATGAAAGAGAGAATATAAAAACATGGCTTTGAGAAGAACCATGTTAATTTGGCATAAATGTCTCACCCAGTCTTCCCAAGCGCCGTCAGGGTTGGCATCTATATACGGCTCCAATCTGTCCATAATTATCTCACAGCCTCTCTGAAATTGCAAAGAGAAGGGGAAAGACTAAATCATCATACCACTTATATTGCTATTACGTCATCAATACTAAATATGCATATGCACATGTACATACTCAATATTAACGCTTATTTTTCTCTACTAAAATTCCTCTTTTAAGCATCTGCTGCTGGTTGCAGAGGGAAATTGTTCAAAAAAGTTCCAATACAACCAGACATGCCCAAGGTTTACGGGTGTTTTTTATATGCTCAACGCATGATCTTACCAAGACGGCCATGCCAAAGATGTCGGAACAGGAGCTTGCTCCAGAGACGGTGGCATTGGGAACAAGACTGGTGCTTGTCTCGCTAATGTGGATCTTTGATACGGGGATTTTCAACACTCTGCTGGCAATCTGAAGATGTATAGTAAGAATGATCAAATACAGCTTTTCCTAATGTCAAACACTTTGGAAATTGAAAGTGAAAGTGCTTTTCGCAGTTTTGAGCTGATTACACCTTTGCTTTCAGGGGACAAAGGAAACACTCACGTGTTTGTTCAAGATGAAAGAATCTATTTTAATTATTATGCACTAAATTGATCCTATGTTGCCCTTGCCTGTATAAGCTTAGTGTGAAGACCTTGTCCCATCTCTGTCCCTCCGTGTGTGATCAAGACGGAACCGTCGCCTTGGTAAACGTGTATTAGCGCAGCCCCCTGCAAAGAGAAATCCGTCCATTAGTTCTCCGTACATTGGCCTCGTTCTCGTTCTGGCTAATCTAAACTTTAAAAAATTGAAATGAAAATAAACTACTATAACCACTGCTGAATGGCAATTTTATTGTTATTTATAATTATATGTACATTATTGTTTATGGTTTCTTCAAAAACAAATGTTTTATTTATCTTTGGTGGACCTAAAGGCCCCTATTTATTTATTTATTTATTTATTTATTTATAACACAAGTCCTCTGTCCGTCAAATACCTGGTCTAAGAATCCTGAGCCTCCATAGGAAACCCCGTATTTTGTGGGAGTGATGGCGATTCCCCTTTTCTTCCAACGATTTTCGCTAAAAACAGTTTTTAAATTAAAAGTGTTATATTTTCGCTCTTTAAAATATTTTGTATGTGCCTCGTGCCATTCTGCCACAGACTTCACTGCATGACTTCAAGTTAAGGAAAATTGATATGATGGAAATAATAATAATAATAATAATAATAATAATAATAATTATAATAATAATAATAATAATGAAATGAAATAAAATATAAGATAAGTAAAATAAATCAAAATAATTTTAAACTCAAAGGACACTCAAATGCACAATCATATAAAAATCAGAAATAATTCAGTAATTAATAGAAAAAACCCAGCGTGATCAAACGCATTGCCATTTACACAATTTAAGCTTCATCTACCTATTGAATACGTCGACTTCAGTCCTCCGAGTTACATAGTTGCTCTGTTCCAGCAGCTGATCCAAGCAGCCTTGCAGGTTGCAGTTGGTCACGTGTTGGTTGTAATGCGTCAAGCCATTTTCTTTGTACATATTCAGTGCTTGCAACTTCATCAGGGACAGCAATAACAGCAATGTTTTTTTAGGATTTTTCGACACAAGTGTGTAAATATCAAGAGAGATATATCAAAACAGCAGAATGTACAGGAAAAAATCACCCTCTGTGACGGTTTGTTTTAAAGTACAAACAAATAGACACAACAAGTTTCTGAAAATTCATATATTGAAAAATTATAACATTTTAATCACGAAATCTAATTGATGGTGCTTTATAAAACACACTACTTCAGGTAAAAAACTTGCATATTTAGAGTTTACCTCCAATGGTGCAATATCAAGGTAGGCGGCAACGTCAAACATTACGTTTTCACTGACAAATATACCCTGGGGTGAGCCATACCCCCTAAAGGCAGCGTTCGACGGCAAATTTGTCTTGCAGATGATACCAGTGACCCTCATATTAGGGATAAAGTAACTACCGTCCACATTAACCATGGCTTTGTCGAGAACCTGTCCAAAACGAGATACTGATATTTTGATATTGATGAACATTTTAACCAGATATTTGATACAGGTCTGAATATAATACAACTTCTTGAAAACGCCCTTCCATGGTACGTCGCTTAAAAACTGCATCATTGCTTCATTAAATCTATAAAATATTAATTCGAAGTTCTCCTAATAAAAGAGTTTGCTGGTGCCAATGTGTCAGTAGGTCTACATGTACCAAAAATTCGTAGAAGAAAAACACGTACCCCGACTGATGCCTCGGTGGAATGACCTGCGTTTGAGTACAGTGTCACGTCTAATGCCTCCAGGCGTCCTTCCTTGCTGAACCCCACCTAATGAAAAAAAAAGATGATCACAGTATAAAATACACGGAGGCGATAGCAGAATACTGCACAGAGTCTAGCTTAAGCTTATCACAGTTTATAGCTTATCTAAGAATAACCATCGCCAATAATATGACGCCCAGTAACAAATACAAACTGTTTGTCCACATTGTAAATTGAATTTGTCATGTTTGAGAAATATTGAATGGTATAACAGGTACTCTGACACGTATCTTTGGAGATGTATCTCCCCCTCTCTCCTTCAATCACAAATTTATTTAACCACATCAGATATGATTCCACACACACACAGACACACACACACACACACACACACTTAAAGACAAAAACACACACGCCCATACACATACACACACACACACACACACACACACACACACATGCAGCTACAGCACTGTACCTTGTATTTTCCCAAGAACGGATGTCTCCCTCCAGAAATAAGCATGTCTTCGTGACGGTCCAGCATACAACGCACTGGACGATTAAATCTGGAAGATCAACACAGTTTTTTTTAAGAAAATATTAGACATTACGTCATAATAGGCATAGAGCATGGCGATCATATCACACGAGTTTAAATGTATAAAAGTAGATGCATCCAACCAACTCATTTTACATAGAAGTCGAGTTACAAGTACTTAAATTTTCTGTAAGTGGCGTGCTATTAATTAGTTTCTTTAATATTTTGACATTTCATACTTTGTAATACGGACACTACGTGAAAAACTCACTTCTTAGCCGCTATCAGGACTGGCAACATGACAACAAACGCTCGCGTTTGTTTACCTCCAAAACCACCCCCTGAAATAAAACAGAGAAAGCAAATAACCGTAACTGCATGGTAGGCTTGAGAATCTCCGAAATATATAGACTTGTAATAAAGAAACATTCTTATACTTTGAAAACAAAAGCTCTTTCGTCAACTTCCCTTAACTTAATTAATAAAAGGAAAGTTGGGCATAAAACACGCGTTAACTCTAGCGTAGGCCTTGTTTTAAATTATAGTGAAATTCAGGTGGACTTGCCTATCCTCTTGACCCGGATGTTGATCCTATTAGCAGGAACGCCAAGGGCCTCGGCAGCCACTGCCTAGAAAGTTTACAGCAGAAATAATAATTAAGCCCGACATTCACATGCACATATAAAGAAGATATAAATCTGAAACGAAATTTTAGAAAACCACTTGCTCCTCAATGTGCCACAACCGAAGCCGTTAGACCTTCAACAAGATTAGGAATGACACCAAACAATACAACAACCAAAAATAACATAGAATGGGATTTATCATCACTGAAACTAATATCAGTAAAACACTTTTAATGATTCGGGGCTTAACATATATAAGCAATCAGGGATCGATCTACCTGTGCAAAATGTGGCGCCTGTGTGGCACAAAACACCTCCATCTCGCCATCTTCTCCCCTGGGTACAGCACGCGTCACGTGCGTCTCCAGATAAAAGTGCGACTGACCACTCATTCTCAACTCCCCTTCCAACACGTGATCCGACTGACCAAAGCCCTTGTCCAGGTCACCCTTTACGATTGTCCTTCCTCCTGGGAAGAAAGACTCCGCCTTTATAGCATCCTGTGTAGTAAATTTCACATTTAATATATTTGTTACATTTATTATACGCTTGCTTATGAATTTGAGAATTTAATGAAACTGTAATAATTTATTTTTACTGCATTTGTAAAACATATCTGGTAAAATCTGGAAAGCTGCTTTTCTGTTGAGATGTAAAACGTTGCCATTTGGAACTCTAAAAACCTTTGCACATTAGCTCAGGTCGTTGCAAGAATTAACAGATATAATGACTATTAAAATAGGAATCGACGTAATAAAAGAGCCTAACTTACCTCTATCGTTAAAACAGCAGGTAGCTCCTTGTACTCAACTTTCACTTTCTTGGCTGCTCTCTGAGACTGGATTCTGGAATTGGCGACTATGGCTCCAATCACCTGGCCGATACAATGGACCTATAGAAGATGAGACGGGCTGTCAGAATATAATGGAGATTAGCGGTCTGTGTACCTAGTTGCTGATCTCCGTGTTTCCCATTCCGTATTATGTAGGAGCATCTTTTTATTGATTAATTGATAAAAGTACCTGATGTCGATAGTATCCCCTGAAATGTACATGATGTTCTAAAAACTGGTCAGAGGGAAATTCATTTTGGTATGGTAAATCCCGTATAGAGTACCTTTAAACTGCAGACGTAAAAAGTTACATACTTTTTACGATGCTGTGCAACAACTGCCGTATCTGTAACAATGATTCATACCTCTTCTGAAGCAAATATCTCATCCTCATTCACCGGGCGTTTGATATTTGATCCCGGGACGTCTTTGTGGCACAGAAATGCATGCACTCCTGGCATGGCCAAAGCTTCATTGGCGTCAATACTTAGGATCTTGGCGTGAGCTTTGGTGCTAGTGACCAAAGTCAGGAAAAGTTCACCTGGAAGAACAAGGCCATGTTCTGAATGACTGTGAGTTGTCATATCTGTCTTTAAACAAAAATTGAGAAGTACAGTAGACCCCGTAAGGTTCTTTTGTTGCCTGGTGATATTCCATAACCTTGATAATATCAATATCACAAACTTTTTGATTTTGATTCTAATTCACTATAAGCATTTCACAGAATTAGGAGTCTATGAGAAAGAAATGAAATGAAACCGATATTATCGCATTGTAAATAGCTTTGCCAGCTAAATGAATTTTCGTCTATATGTTTTTTTTTAGATAACAATTTTACGGGTCATAAAAGATGTGCCGAAAGACGGATTAGTGTCTTTGCATGAGACACTTTCTAGTCCATACCGTCTGCGCATGGCATATCATCATAATACTGCGCCTCTCCTGTGGTTTGCTGAACGCTGGACATGGTGGGCATTGGGCGTCCCACGGCATCGTCAAGTGACTGGTCGTCTGGCACATCCTCGTACACCTGAGTGCTTCGGCTTGGGTCTCTGTGAAACACGTGAGTGGCACTCATGTCAGAGGAGAGGACCTTGGGCGCAGGTTGCCCTTGCTGCCAAAAAGTCAAGGAATGGAGAATGGCTTTAAAAAACTTTTCTTTATTACAATCTTTTGACACATTCCGATTTGATATTTCATAAAATCAATCAATAACTTTTCATGGTGTTTTGCATTTGAGAGAGCTAGAGAGAGAGAGAGAGAGAGAGAGAGAGAGAGAAAGAGAGAGAAACAAAAAGCGGAATATAAAGTACCTTGCACTGCATCAAGTGAAGTTGGACTGTCAGGTAGAATTTAAAGAAGAAGCTGCTGACCAACGTTCTTCTGTATTCCACTTGTCCGCCAGGTGCATCCTGGGATAGAGGAAGGTCGTCTGCTAGCCAGCGGCACATGTCTGGCACCAGATCATCCGCCCACCTCCTGTATTTAGATTTAAATTTAGATTTCGTATTAAGAGGGTGTTTTTTCTTTCTTTTTCTTTTTTTTTTTTTGATGTTTGCTTTGGCAAAAATTGCGAAGAATATTTTCTTTTTGCACATATTTTACTAATGCTTAAAGATAAACATTACACATATTTATATTAAAAAAAATAATAATAATAAACCAAAAAAAAAAATATATTGCTGTAGAAATATAACCCCCTTTTGAATAAAGACCCGATGTACAAACCTTCCCTGTGCTTGCTTGGCTGCATTATGAGCCACCAAAGATGTCGTAGCCAGGCCGCCAAACACGAGAGACATATTGTCAATCACGTTAGAATTGTCCTGGAAGAGCACTCTGATACCGGCATTAACAATAGCAACGTCATCCTCACGTCGCTGGGCTTGCTTGTAACCATAACAATACTCATTCTGGGAAACCAACACATCCAATAACCATAAAATACCACAGTAAATGTAAATAATCAGCTATTGTAAATTTCTTTTTTTAAATCTCTAAACGCTTTCCGTTTACTGCAAAAAGTAGATTTTTAAGAAGGGGTCTTTTTTTAGCATGATACAAGCATTTTATGTAAAAAAAATGTATCTCGAGCCACCTTCTTTGAGTAGGGTATGTGAACAGCCACCAGCACTTCCTTCTCCTGAACCAGCGTCTTTCTTTGGCTTATGAAGAAATTGTGATCAAGGGGCAATTTTCTTTGGCCCTGGTCTGAAAACAAACAATTACATATGGAAAAATGCCCTCGTTGGTTCTAAACCTAGTTATATCTATATAATCTTCAAACTTCAACCGTTTCTATTCAACATACAAAGTCACTTAGATATCTTGCAAGTTAACGCACAGATTTAAGGATCCTGCCTGATCTTTTAAAAAGTAACAATTCTATCATAGATTAATATTGTCACAATTAATATGATCACACAATATAGTTGCAGCTTCTGGTAACAGCACAAACCTTTCGAAGCCAATGTAACATAGCACCCTGTAGCTATGAAGAGGGTATTTAGATCAGAAATCCGCCGAGTAGTTAGGATATTTCCCGCAACGCACTGAGAAAAGACATCATCATACAATGTGTGCCAAGGAGAAAAAAATATATCAAATTAGTATCTTATGATATAACTAAAAAAACTCAGCAAACCCGTTTCATATATACATTTTTAACGTAACTATCATAGCCTTTGTGTTTAAACCATGAAAGGCAGCGGTTGTAAAGAGTGCAATATTACTTCTTCAAGAAAACGATTGCATCATCCAGTATAACTCCACAAACTCTCTCTCTCTCTCTCTCTCTGTGTGTGCGTGTGTGTGTGTGTGTGTGTGTGTGTGTGTGCGCGCTACCTACCGCAACATTTCTGATTTGAGGTCCAGCAAACCATCTTAACATCTCTATGATAGCGACATGGAAACGACTCTGGAATTCTAAGTTGAAGACAATTTTATCGGTGTATATCACGACTGAATGAATATTATGTCAGATCTCAACTTTGAGTATTATTCCATGTTATTTTCAGTTTCTTCTAAAGGTGAACACCAGAAAACAACAGCTATCACGCTATACGTGTACAAGTATGTGAAGTCCGATTCATTCAGTAAAAGGAAAAGACGATTTTACTTGTCTGCAATGGAAATTCTCTATCGAAATTTTCTCTTGCAACAAGCATACTTTCACTTTCTATTTGGCATAACAATTTCTGCTACCTGGTAAACGTTCCGATGCTTTAATAAGGACCTCTTCTAGCGTTGAAAGCGTCACAGACCCTCCGATACTTATCTGGCTGTCTTCTTCCTTCACCTGGAGAAGTTCTGGCACGTGTCGTGCTGATATGACGACTGGATAGCAAATATTTCTGGCTCTCACTTCAATACCTGTAATTATTTTGGATCAAGCGTGATTATTATAAATTATTAGGGCATACAAAGTTTGAAATATGGTTATTCCATATTCATAAACACGCAGGTCATTTTAAATGCGCTTTTGAAAAGGCGAGTTTAGCTAACTTAAAGTTAATATTAACTTTGTGGCCACGTTGAGAGAGATCGACATAGACTGGGTTCCCACAGATTTAGATCGATCCATCTGGATCGACCTAACTCCCTTGGGGTTCACGCTAAATTGCTGTCAGCTTCCGGGAGCCGAGCGCGCACAAAAGTAAATTACCCCCTTTCAGCTTTTAGTAGGCGGGACAGACATTTAAGCCGGTTAAGCTGACAGCAATCTATTGAGACTCCCCAGGGGGATAGATCGATCTAAATATCTGTGGGAATGGTCTCTTAGACACAAACCAATTTCAGTATTTCCTGTAATCAAAATGGCTTCTGGATACTGTGCCTTCAGTTCTAAGAGCTGGTCCAAGGTTGCTGGTCTGTACCACGTGGTTCTCTCTCCCTTGAACACCAATAACTTCGATGAGAAGTCGTGCTGAAGCTGAACATAATGTTAAAACATACAAATAAATGAGCAATAATGATCTGGAAAATAAAACAGCAATTTTTGCGCGTACCGGGGGTTTTACGTTTTAGTATGTGCTGCTGTATATGTTACGTAAAGGATCGCTGCTGGAGGCCTACATTTGTTATTTTGTTTTTGTTTTTTTCAATTAAGTATTGTTCAATTGAGTATTGTTCTGTACTGAACGTCGCACAGGGGGAATTTGAATTTAAACTATTACAATTACAAATAAAAAATCTTATTTAATTAGGCAAAGTTTCGTCTTGAGTGTAGTAATGAAACATGTCTTAAGTTAACCTGAAGTTCTGGTGGAAAAATGGGTTCCTGCGTCTGGTCTTCGGGCACATAGGCGCTAGGCGAACACGAGGCGGGTGCTGGTACCTCACCAAGATCACCAGATTCCCGGTTCCTGCAGCATTCCTTGCCTCTCCCACACAGGTTTTCCTCAGTGAAGGGTCTTAAACCATCCAGGATGGGCCGATATCCTGTACATCTGCATAAGTTACCTGTGAGTGTTATCAACATTAAATATTTTAACAAGTTATAACCTGCCGTTCAATTAGAAGCTGAGCTTTTGTTCTACTTTTTGTAAAAACTAACATTGTTATGTTTTCGACGAGAGTGCATGCTTCCAAAGAACTGTCTCAGAAACAAGTTCCTTTTTTTTCTCTTACAACATGTTTTCAAGTTGTGCTTATTACAATAAACGCCAACACTGCATTTTCGTAATAATTTGCCAAGTTGAACCCGGTTACCCTATTGCCCTCACGAGCCCCCCCCCCCCTCCCCGTCACCCACCCATCTCAGTCTAGAGAGAGAAAAATACCAAACCAGCATATCAATGAGCTGATTTCCAGAACCCTGTCCCTTGCCTTGAAACGATTTCTCCACTTCTTTCATGGAGGGCTTGGGTTTGTTCCGTAAGAGTGCATATGCTGACAACACAAACCCTGGAGTGCAGAAGCCGCACTGGGTCCCATTGGCTTTGGCGATCCTCTCCTGGTTTAACGAATATAATAGACATCTTTTCAAGAAAAAAAAAACGCGTGTGATTCAAATTTGCATCCAGGTAATTTAATTAAAATAAAAGGTAAAACAAATAGTAAATCTGTGTTTGTAAATATAAAAGTAAAATATACATGCCGAATGTATTGTCCGGCACCATTAGAATGGAGTAGAAATGATCCGTTCGTAAAAGAATTGTATAAAAGGGTACCACTGGTTTACTAGTATCGGAATGTAAGGTTATGTTTTCTCACCTGGACTGGGTGGAGACGAGTTTTGGAGCTACCTATGCCCTCTATCGTCGTGACTGCTAAACCATGCAGAGAACAGACTGGCGCCAAGCAGGCATTGATAGCATAATGACTGAAACCCAGTCAGGGGACATAACACGTTGAATGACGAGTTTGGGTGGCGGCATGTTATGCGCATGCCCATGAAAAATATATAATAAATGTTCGCTATATGAATATATGAAATGAATCTTTTAAGTTACTACTTTGTCTTTTTATTTAAATTTCTCCGTGGCTTCATTTGCTTATTTATTATTTTTGAATGGTACAACGCAATTGTAAATATTAGACGTACACGTATAGGCATTGTAGGCCTACTTTTTAAAATCCCACGGCTAAAGCCCGAGGTAAAAAGGATACTAAACTTTCTGCGTGGCCTGGTCATATCTGGATACCATTACCGTGCATGATCCGCATCCACCCTCGGCACAGCCCAGCTTAGTACCAGTCAGCCGCACTGAGGCCGCTCGGTCAAGGAAATATCAGTGTGTCAAACATTTTTGCTATCTACAGAAATGGCCTGAGTACTTGCAATGTCTTCTACAAGCGTGTGTGTATCAGTGCAGGTGGGGGTGGGGGTCCCCTTTGGATAAAATTTTATCTGGGTTCATGAAGGTTTCATGTTAAAAGGTCCACTTTTTTAGAAAAAGCCCCCCCCCCCTTCTGAAATTGCTGGCTGCGGGCCTGTATTGCGACAGTAAATTATACTACTAGTAGCAAAGTACATTGCAGGTGCAGAAGAACAAACGCTCTCTCTCTCCCTTTCTCTCTCTGTCTCAATTTAGAAACAATGCAGAGCAATGTGAGGGTAGCACGTGCCATTCATCAGAAAACATTTAAAAACAATACGATCTGATTTTATTATCACTGTTGGCTTTATCAGTAGGCACGTGTTTCTGGTAGCACTTGGCTGCCATTTACACAGGTTATCAACCACATGTTACATACGCCTGTGCTAATGTGATAAGCTGCTGGGCCTCTAATGGAATTTAATTATTCAACTTTCAACAGAGATGATCACCAAAACTGCCTGTAGAGGTACAGGTCATGGTCCTTTAAAGGACAGAGGGCGATTTTTTAACAATCGGCATAAGGTTCAGCAGTTTCTTACACATGAATTATAATTTCGAACATATATAAACGTAAATAACTGTGAACAATAAAAAGAAATCGAAATTAGGTGCAAAGACACAGAGGCAAAAGATTGTGAGGAATATCTTTCGTATCGAATGATTTCAAAGAAATGATCTGAAAAGTGGACTTTGGTCCATTTTGTCGATGAAAAGAGAAATTCAGACATTTGAACAGCAAGGCTGAAGTCATCGACAATACTATCATATCATTTCAATAGGGAAAACGCATTTTTATAAAATATTTCCTACACACACAAACACACACACACACACACACAAAATTGACTGATACACAGCCACAAATCCTAACATGCATTCAATTGTTTTTCTGAAACCTGATTATATAAATATTCTATTCGCGTCAATTTCGCGATAAATCATCGAAAGATACATTTCGTCCTCAGATACTCCAGCAGTGACATCTCTGGGTCGGCATTCTTCTCTGTAACCTGTGAAAAAACGCAACAACAATAATAAAAATAAAGCGATGGTTGACAATTATTATTTTTACGTTTTTAATTATTGAACAGTAAATGTTGTATTTCAATGACTGCTGTTCAAACTAACTTCTTTTCGGCAGTACAGTTCACCACTATGAAGTATGCGGGTTTGCAGATCTATAATTCTGCCACATTAAAATTGCAAAGACTTAACATAAGGCAAGATCACATTTGCCAAGGACGAGTGTGCAATGCAGAAAAGAACCAACTTCCTAATAATCTGGAGCTACTACACCAAGCTTTTTAGGCAGATGGGACACTTTTCCATAAAAATAAATCGTTACCCTTGTTGAAGGCGAGGCGCGCCGCCTGCAGAGTTTGTACGCAGTCAACACACGCTGTCAGACACGAAACCTTTAACGAGCACATCCATATGCTAATTGTGTGTAAATTAGGTGACATTTGGTGGTGTCATTTCAATTTAATGGACATTTCTTTACCTCTGTGGAAATCACAGTGAAACATCGGTTTGAGGGGGTACATGACATAAATGTGAATAAATGGTATAAAATATGGATATCTTCTATTTTGTATTTTCTGTACCATGAATCATGTTAGTTTATTGTATCTGGAATAAGAAGCACTGTTTATTACAGTTAACACCTGTGAGGGGATAATTTTTAAATACATTGTAAAAGCACATGGAACTGGGACAACCTTCTTAGCCAATTTTGTATTTGCAACGTATGGATATCGCATGGCAAATATAATCTGAGCTTCAATACTTGACAGCATCGGGGTTAAGATAAATGTCGATATTTGCTTATCTGGTCTTCTGGTACGTAGTATACACATTACCTCATCCCGTGTTTGTCGTGTGCCGAGTGAAATTAAAGGGGTGACGATATATTGGTATTGCGGATTCATAGCCGCGTAACTTTTAATAAATGTGGACTTTGGGGGAAGGATTATTGGTTAAAGATGCATTGCATGAAGAGTCTGAAGAAAAACGAGAATATTAGTGGAATATATAGTTAAGAGTGTCCTTCCTTCTCCTCCTCCTACTCCACAGGACTGTCGCCAATCAGTATGAACTCCCACCTGATATACGCTGCGGGGAGGGGGGGGGGCTCATTACACTCACCCAATATTAAACCCCCTTTACACTGGACGGCGTCCTCTCTGTGACCATGAAACTGGCATCGCTGTGGTCGTAGAAAGAAGGCACAGGTGTCGCTTTGGTTGCAGAATGAATGCGTGAAGTATTTTTTTTTACTTTCAAACGGGGCCGTTCTGCCGGACGCAGAAAGGACGCCGTCCAGTGTAAAGGGGCTTCACTCACCTTCTTCCCGTTTACGAAGAAGACCAACTCATCTGCTGCTTTTCCGTCCATGTGCATACTGACAGCCGACTACCGCTCCACTCGCTTGATTTATTTTGTTATCAATCAAGTACTAATATCTTAAACAAGGCTGTTCACCTGTTGGAGTTTTTCTGGCTTGCAGTGCCACTACACATGCGCATACTGTCACTGGGTATAGTGTCATTTCGACATGTGTCATGTAAATCACTGATAAAAGATACGGGACTGATCGAGGGCCCGGGGTTGGCTGTCTCTACTCAATGTCGTGTCTGACGTGAAAATGTTAAGGAGGTCATAATTATATAACATTGGTGCATGCAGTTTTCACTCAAGAGTCCTTGTGTAACTTGGCAGCATCTCTGAGTAACGCTGATGTTAAGCGAACCCAATTACACTCTGCAATTTGAAGTGCATGTAATCAGGATTATGTACCGCGAAAACAGAGTAGAGTTGGGTTGCTTTTAATTTTAAGTGGCATTCTGTATGTGGTCTCTATCTTATAACTTTTTTTGTACGTAATGCTGTGTACATAACTCTGCGCAGTGTATTATATTTTATTGAAACTTGGTGAAGGCTGTGCTGTATTAAAATATGCTGTAGCCTATTTAACTAGAGGATCACAGCGATGCCGCCTCCAGGTATTGTACCACAAGCGAAATTAACCTCATTCAAGTTGGATGTATCTGTTTCAGGTGTGGAGAAAATGTCAAGGGTCAGAAATTTTTCAAGGTTTAGTTTTTTTGTGAAAAGAATGTCAAAGGTCAAATTCAAGGTCACAGTAAGATTGAAAATATATGACTTTCTATCCAAGTTCAATAGTAACTTTGGGCGTATCTCAGCCAGTTTTGGAGATACATGTAAGAGCCAGAAAATGTACAAAATTCAGTTCATGGTGAAAGTAGGCCAAAAGTCAAGTTCAAAGTCACAGTAATATTGCTAAAATATGGCTTTCTATTCAAGTTCAATAGTAACTATGGGTGCATCTCTGCCAGTTTTGGAGATATAAGGGACGAAAAAGTTGTAAAACGAATAGCTAATTCCCAAACTTGCAAGGATGAATGGAGACCCCAAGTGTTGTTGCCATAACAAAAGCATCAGTCTCTGTAGTTTCTGAAAATCAGTACAAACGTTTTTTTTTCATAAAATCATTTTTTTACAAAATTTTGGCTCTTTTGACCTTGAAATAAAGGTCAAATGCAAGGGCTTATTTGAAATTTAGGCCAGACTTCTGTGGAAACTTTTCCCATAATTCCTTCCGTTTGCAGGGGCGGATTGAGGCCGTCTTCTGTCTTCCGCAAGACGGTCAGATATTCAATTTTACATTGTCGGGTATCTATTTTTTTCTGTCGGAAGACGGTCAAAAATGGAGGATGGATCAACAAAGATAATTTGGAAGACTGTTAGAAAATAGCTCTGGAGCCGCCCCTGGTTTGGGTGATATTTAGTATTTAATTTTCAAAAGTAGTCTTATATAAGAGCCATACAGTTCTTATAATAGTTTACTTAAAACTTTTAAAACATTTTGTGCCCAATTCAGTGGGTTTGGTCTGGTGTAACGTGACAGAGAGTCCCCCATGATGGAAAGTCTGTTTCCCATTCATATGTACAAGTCTTGCCTTATATTTTGACCCACTTACATGTAGGTCAGACTAACCCTAACCATTATAACTAAATGGAGGGCGGACTTTCTGTTACACGGACCTGAAGTTTAGTTACACCGCTACATCCTTTTTTTTTACACTTCAAAAAGCAATCATCACGTTGCTGAGATTGGCCTCTGATCTACTGTTCAGCAAATCTGTCAAAATCTTGAGTTTTAGAAACAGACAGAGTGGTCCATTTTAGTCTGCTGGACAAAGCTAAACCTGTCCTTTGTATGACATATTGGCGACTTACCTGCCATTTGAGGATTGAACATGGATGAAGATCATCTTCAATTTTGACATAGAAAGGAGTACTTTTATTACTTCACATAAATAGGTTTTAAATGCAATCAGTACTGTGCTGTATTTACTGCCACATTTATATAACAGATCACAAACAGAGCCTCCTCCCATCCTTTCCCAGCCCTTCAGAACAGGACCAACTCTGACAAGAAAATGTTGAAGGCCACCAGATTACTTAATATCAGACTGATAATTCAAAGAGGGGTCCCTAAATAAGCTGGGTGTTCAGTGATGTCATTTGGGTCCATTTTAAATTCATTTGAATGGACAATAATCTGGTACTCTAGTGATGTTATTTGAGCCCATTTCAAATAGATCTGAATAGACAATAATCTAGGTGACTTGTGATGTTATTTTGGCCCATTTCAAATAGAGCAGCATACTTAACTGGTCCAGTATACTTTGAGAGATACAGACTAGTATTAAATAACCTTGCTATTAACTACAAGTAGCCCCTGTGTTCCACAAGGCTAATTTTAGTGCAACTGAACAGCAGAAAGTGAACTTGTGAGAGGTAATACACATTAGGACCTGTCAAAGTGTACCAGTCCAGTTAAGTGTATCACTGGATCTGACAAGACCCTTAGACTTCTTCCATTTGTAGTAAGCCAGGGCCCGAAACTCGTAAGCATCGCGCATAGTGACCGAGCGCAAGCATCTCAATTCCATAACTTGCCCATACTTGTTCCTTATAATACATTGTAGCCTCTACATGATACCACTATTTGCAATGTGCCATGCTTTCAAGTTATGGGGTCCAGGCTGTTAACATGGCCATAGTCTTTATACTATACAGTGTCCATTTTTTCAGCAGTGTCATTAACTTCAGTAGAACTTTTTTTACTTCTACTTTTTTTGTCTTTTTTCTGTGTGCCTTCTGACTGAGGGTCAGGGCTTTTCATTTCAATGTCTTTTAATGCTCCATTTGTGGACACCTCTTCAACTAAATCTGAATAAAAAACAAGAAAGAATTATGTATCATCAACAAATGTCCACCCTGAGCTTCAGAGCTAACTTGACACTAACCTTTTCACTGTAGCCTATCTCCATCGTGTCAAGTAACCTCTGACGAAAATAGTTTGACCTATTTTATATAAGCCAATCGAATCCATGTTTCAAAATTTTTCACCAAAGTTTGGTGAAAACGCTGATTGGTTGATCGTCAATCGGCAATCCTCGGCTGATTCCGCAAGCTCCATACTAACAACATAGTTATTGTCGAGTGCGGAGACATCCGAGTAGTTCCGAGTGGTTCCGAGTGCATAACCGTACACAAAGAAAGCATGGAGTATATCGGAATTGAAACCAGAGCAGTATGATGCCCTGCATCATTATCTACTGAGAGACGATGTTATTTGCGTGCTGCCCACAGGTTACGGCAAGACCCTGATATTCAGCCTTATCTTTGATTGGTCCGGATTTGAACAAAGCGCGCTTTGACTCGTTCGCGTTCATTGGCTAGATCGTTTAATGAGTCATTGAGTGCGGGCTTTTAAATTTGATTGGCGGGCGGCGGAGGCAATCGAATCTGGTCAGAGGTTACTTGACACGATGGAGATAGGCTACAGTGAAAAGGTTAGTGTCAAGTTAGCTCTGAAGCTCAGGGTGCAAATGTCATGTGCAGTTTGAGAAAACATAGTGTTACAGTTACAGTTTTAAAAATTTTAGAAATATTTTGAAGTGCTTTTTAATCAGGTCTACACATTTAACATACCAAAATTAACTGATATTTTTACTATAAGCACATTTCATTCATATAAAGAGATTGGAAGAGGAAATCATCCTAAGTTGAAATCTGACACTGTTGGGGGTCTTTACTGGAAATACTACAAACCATTCAAAGCTGTCTGGTCTTTCTGCATGTGCCTCAGCTGCTTCAAAAGTTTTCTTTTCTTCTTTCCTGAGAGTTCTATGTTAGCTCTTGAACTTGTCCTGCAAAAAACAGTATTATCATTAAATAACCAGTGCAGTTTTTGAACTTGAAAAAAAGGTGACCAACATTAGCAAAGACGCCCATTTCAAATCTAAAATGGAATTGAAGTTAGACTCGATTCAGTTTTTCATAAAATCCATCATCTTTATTGTTTATATGGCCAAGATTTAGAGTTTGATAAATTTTCCTTCTGTCAACTATGCTATATCATATTCTTCACACATACAAAAGAACAATACAGCAGGCACTTACTTTCTTTTTCTTAAGTGATGGATTGTAATCAGTTCAGGATCTGGGATTTCTGAGAAAATCTTGCTCTTTTCCTTCTGTGCAGCTGTTTTAATTCTTTGTCTGCGATATGCCTTTTTCTGTTTGTTGTGCTGTGAAGATTACAGTATGATTAAAACAGATGTTTTCACGTGATTTTTTTAAGTCTGTTAGAAACATATTTGACAAATAAAACTTGGGTTTCTTTATTTTGAAGACATTATTACAATCTTACATTTCCTTTTGGGTATGTTACACCTTTCTTATCATGATCTTTACGTACAATCTGCTCAGTCAGTCAGTGTACCATGTCTTTCTTATTTGAATATTATAATTATAATTGAATGCTGATCAGTTTCCAAATACACTCCTTTGCCTCTGGGCGAGGTCTTGCTCTGTAGCAAAGCAGCCCTCATTCAAATTTCTTAGAGCACACTTAGTGTGAACACATTCACAATAAATCTTAACGCACTGCTATTCACTCATACCAACAGATATCACAATGGAGTAACTAACCCTTCTCTTGCGATTACTTATCATTCCATGCACACCCATGGCTGCCACTTGTAACAAGTAAAATCCAAAGTATTACTTTAAATGAAACACCAGACCAGAGGTAGATGTCGACTTCTTCACGTGTTACCTACGGCAAATGGGTACTACTGACATATTGCGACAACGCATTCCATCCATGTTTGACTATTTTTTTCACTGATTGAAGAGGAGATTAGTTCATAAATACAATATACTATGAAAAATATGTTTCAAAATACCTGAAGCCCATGTATAACCCTCTTGCAAGCAAACTTGTAAAATGCGACATACAAATATTGTAAATAAGTACTTGAAAGGCACTGGCTGTGTCGTGTTTATTTTCGTCGCTGCCGTCACCGATTATATCACCAGTATTGGTGTTCTGGGTGTGAACTGAAGTAAAGATACAGGGGAGACATGGTAGAATTATGGGATCGTTAGCCGACAGTGCAGGGGCGATAAATGAGCAGGATGAAATAAGAAAGGTACTGGTTTTAACAAAAAGAAGAATACAAATTACTAGTAGTAATAAGTTACTGACATAAGATTATCAGTCCTTTTAATTTATATTTGATCAAATTTGTAGCGACTACTTCGACAATTTACAAAAAATTCCAAAGATTGTGCATTAAAATGAATGTATGGGCGTTGACACATTTACCTACACAAAATTAACTATCAATTTTGCAAGATTAAGATATCTGTACTGAGTACTTTTGATGTCTGACATCAAAGCACTGCATATATGTGAGCACAAAAATCCTTTTACACAACAGTACATGCCATAAAAGACAGCATTATGGCATAACGCATATTATTGTCAACAATAATTGCTATATGTATATGCACATTAAAATCTGCATTGCAGGTTAAGGAAAATGCCCAGGTTACCTCAGAGGAATATGAGAGTGGCCCTGATTTTAGTGATCTGCCAGATGTAGTTTGGGTTCAGGTGCTGAAAAAGCTTTCACTGTCAGACCGTGCTTCAGTGGCAGCCACTTGCCATGCACTGAATGAAGCTTTCAACCATCCTTCTTTGTGGCATACAGTCACCGTAATACTGAGAGGGACAAGCAAACCAGTATCCTTATGGTATCTGGATGAGAGGTAATGGTTAAGTAAATACGATTTTAATGGTATGTGTATAATATACGTCAAAGAATGATAATGATAAATTTTCAGACAGAATATTTAGTTGACACAGCCCTGGTCAGCATAGCCCATTTTAAGTCATTTATAGTGATATTTGCAATGTGTGTCCTGTTTGGGATTTTTATGCAGAATGGAACTTCTCTTGAGAAAAAAAGTTACTTTTTTCTACTACTCATAAATCATTCCATGGCCTGTAACTACCTTTAGATTGGGTGTTTAGATTTTTAATTAAATAGTTAAGTTCAAAATGACTGGCCATATATTTAGACTGCTGTGTCTTTTTGTACATTTCAGTAGCAAATTTTGACATTAGGTACTTTTTTTGAAGGATTTTATCATTTTTAAGGTCTGTGTTAGGAAAAAGTACCTTTGCAGGATATGTACTGGTAAACATAGAAAACAAGACTTTGAAGACATTTTGAAATGCATAAAATATACATTTTACAGTATTTCAGAGTACGGTGTTTGAAGTTATCTGAAGTATTCTTTTACATGTGATTCAGGGGAGTGAACACTGGTTTGTTGACGGTTGAGTACAAGTACCTGCAACTTATAAAGAGATTTGGCAGCTTCTTCCAAAACCTCTCTCTGCTCATCCAAGGATATTTCAATAAGGTTCCACCCCATGTGAATGAAATTGTCTCCGAGCTGAGTGCAAGATGTCGTTTGGAAACTTTGACACTTCAGGTACATAGTAACATGATGTAAATGAAGTTTGCTTTATAAGGTGATGTAGGTAAACAGTGGGCAAAGAAATTGATTTCCAAATGTGTGTTTGATTCATTAATATGCTAAATTGAAAGGCAAGCTTTGGATGCTGTTTTTGTAATTTTTACCTACAATGCAAAGGGTTTGGAAAAGTGAAAATGAAGCAAAAAAAGAAAGTAAAATCTTTAAATTTGCAGCTATTATATATTTAAACATAATATAAAAACTTAATTTTTTTGTTTGATTGTAATGTTTCATTTAAATTTATCAGGTTGGCTCAATTCGAACTGCACTAGAGAATGATGGTGGCCTGGCCAGAAGTGGAAGACCCAAAGAGGAGGACCTTCGTGTTATACTTTCTCTTTTGAACAATTCCTATCGCCTTCGTGAGTTCCAGCTGCTTTCCTGGCCGTCCTGCAATCCAAACAAATATCCCGGTTTAGACATCATCCAATCTCTGTGTGAAAATGAGAAATTAAAACAACTGGAGAAGTTAAATCTCTTCTACGATGAATGCAAATGGAGCACAGTTAATGCCCACCTGCCAAGCGCAGAGAGAATGGTAACCACGGTGCAGCACTTCACGTACCTGTCTCACCTAAGTTTACGTCTCTGTATGATGAGCGATGAGTTGGTGAAAGGGTTGTCAAAATCAGGTCGCACGCCCCTGTCAAATCTCAAGATTCTGGTCACATATTCAAGGCACAATCCTGCGTTGGCAATCCCCGAGATTTACTCCTCTTCATGGTCACAGCTTTCACAGCACTCTCCAGAGTTGGAGGTTGAAATCACCTTTCTAACGCGAATGCCTTACGTGGAGAAAGCAGCACTGCTAAAGCCAGAGATCCCCTTGACTGGTTTAGCCTTTATGACTTATTCCAATTGCACTTCTCAAGATATCTTAGGAATTACAGATAAATATTCAAAGACACTCAAAAAGCTTGTTAATTTCTCTTTTGGGGAGTTTTTTGACGAGGAATTAATTACTTTAGTTTCTTGTTCGTCAAGGATGGATTCTCTAGTCCATCTGGGTGAAATTTACAGTAATACCATAGTACAGCTGGCTCAGCTAAAGCAATGGAAAGTCTTTGAATTCAAGGCAAACATGATCAAATTTGAAGATCCTAGTTTGCAGGATGAAGATGTGGTTGTTGGTCAAAGAGAGAATGGGGAGCTGTATTTGACATCACTTGAACGCAAGCCCTGTCTGGAGGAAGATCGCTTGGACAGTCTAGCCTCACTTCGTGAAGAGGTTTCACGTCTGCTGGGATACTGTTGGCATCCTCAAGTGCCGGACGCTGAGGAACAGGAACCAAGCTATGGTTATTTTCATGCCTTGGAGAATAATGCACTCTTTGTATAAAACTGATATGCCAACACCACGAAATTTTCAAAGGTAAAAGTGGACTTTCAAAAATGTCTTGAAATGCAAGGGACATAGCTGAGCAGCTCTGTATGGGGGGTTTTGAGTGGATAAAAAAACAAAACCAAAATATCTCAATAAAACCACAACTTTCATCTCTTTTTATAAAAATTGAGAGTGGGAGGGTCAACATGGAGCAGCTGGAAAACTGTATTTAAAAAATTATTACAGCAAACTAAGTGTTAACAGACACTCATGCATGGCATCATTGGCTTGGAATGTAATGATGTTAAAAATTGATCATGTTAGGAAGTGTTTTCAATGTGGCAACTTTCACTTTGAGTTGATTTACAGCGAGGTATTTCAGTTTATCAAAAATGTTATTTATCTAAAAACTCAAAAATGATTTTTTATTTTATCTTGAGAGACTAATCATGTAGGTCTGTTCATGAAGCTTGTCTGCAGCTGGCTGCCTTTTAAATTTGAAAAAAAAAAAAATTGTATAACAAGCTTTAAAGAAGCAATTATTATTATTTTTTTATTACCAACACCAAGGAGGTTATGTTAATGTCACCTCTGTTTGTCTTCCCATTTGTTGCCAACCTTACTCGAAATGTTATAAATGGATTTTGATCAAATTTTCAGGATAGGCCAGCAATGGGTTAAACTAAGTGATTAGAATTTGATGGTGATTTTGGCTCTGTAAGTCGAAAGCATCGCGAATTGCAATCGAGCGCAAGTGTCTCTACCCATAACTCGGCATTTACCAAGTCATACCCTCGAAATGAAAGGTGTTATCACTATCACAATTCGTGATGCTTTCTAGTTATGGAGCCCTGGATCACCATCTGGATCCAAGAATTTCTAAGGGGTTCCTCATTGCCAGATACGGCAAATGACCTTGTGCAATGGATGCGTTCTCAACTATCACAATGTATCGGTGCACTATATTGTAACCGGTGTCACGTGAAGAAACCGTCGTTGTGAATAAACCGTTCTGACAGATTCTTCACGCGGGGGTAGCAGTCCGTGAACTTATAGCTACGTAGCTGCACATACATTTCCAATATTTTCCCATAGAGAAAGTTTTATTATTATCGAACATACAATTTCTTTTGACAAAAATTACTTAACTCTGAATTGAAAGAACATTGTAGGGTGAAAACATTTATACTAAAAGTCTTAGATCTATTATATACGTTTTTCTCACAGAGCAAAAAAGTTCAGTCGCGATCAAAAGCTCATTTCCAACATTCCCCCGTAGAGTTATAAGATTATCAAATACATACTCTCTCATGACGAAAACCACTGAATTATGAATTGAAAGATCATAGTTCAGTGCAAACATATGTCGACATCGTCATACCGGAAGTTCCTTCTTGCAATCTACCCTTAATGTGCATGTGCAGAACGATTTGGTCACGGAACAGGTCTATCATGCCACACTGGAGCCTTGGTGCTCTCAGATTTCTTTTATAGTTAAAAAGAGGTTTTCTGTGTTGTTTGTTTAACAATATGTGATCAGTACTGGTGATGAAATGAACTGCCTTAGCTTAAAGATAATGGTATAGATAATTAGACAGAGGTCATTTTACATCTTTATGGCTCACCTTAGGCAATAATGTTTACGATATCAGAGGCACTTCAAATCTTACAACAAATATATTTATGATATTTTACCTTTATTGGGATTGTTCATTATATGTTTCAGACATTGTAACATATATCAGTTTTTGTCTTGAAAAAGGGTGAATTACTTCAACAAACACCATAATAATATTTTATTTCAAGTTTGTCCAGTGTTGCCTCTTCACTTTTTATTCAAGGATAAGTAAATATATGATAATTTTTAAAGGTACATACGGACCGAGCATCGGTGGAGGGTGGATTCCCAGTAACACATGTAAACTACTTCTACTAGATTCTTATATGACTCAAATAAATTTGACATGCCAAGGGATAAACTGAATAGATCACTCGATCAGCCATAAAAGACCTTTAGACTGCTCCTTTCTTTAAATTTATGGCTGTAAATTTAACCTACTTCCGTGACCTACTTTCCTGCCCCATTGACATACAGCTAAGATTGCCAGCAGAAAAATCTGTTCAAACATCATTTTCGGGTAAAATTAAACAATGCCTTTTGGTAATTCTCTTAGTTATACTACTTGAAACTATATGCTGGCATTTGGTTGGTTTTTGTGACAAAAAATTGACTTTGTATGTATCTTTAAAAAGATTCTTTTGCCAATGCCCTTTCCTGTTAAAGATATATTTTTCAAGTTGTTTAAAAATGTAATTCAAATATGTATATATACTTCACATATAAGAGATATGATCATGGCAATTCAGCAAAAGTATTGGTTCATTTCAATTTGTTACATTATAATCACCTTAAATAGTTTGCAATTCAACATTTATCAATAAGTTTGAGGTGGTGTGCTAAAAAACTGCTGACATGTTTATTTTTATTGAACTCATTTCACTTCAAAAAGTTTTTTTCACTGCAGGCATGAATCACATTATACATTTTAAAAACATGCTTATCAATTTCCATCTTTTAAGTTTATTGGTGCGCACGCTGTGTTGCAATATGAATAAGTAAGAGAAACAAAAACCATTTTTTAAAGAAATGTGTACAAAACAGTACATTAATCAATTTCAAATGTAGCAGGTCAATTCAATAATTCTTTTAAATGAGATATTCTGATATAAAACCTTCAAAATACAAAATCCTTGCAAATATAAGAGCAATTCTTAAAGTCCTAGGTATCCAATTTTTCCAGTGGTTTCAAGATTAGCTTTACATTTCTCTCCCCTTCTTGTTTTTCAATCTTTGCAATCCCTTTTGCAGCAGCCATGATAGTTTCTGCTAATCTTGTCAAGTTTGACTGGAACAGAGAAAGAAATATGTAAAATTGGGTCTCAACAGAGGAAAAATAAAAAGTCAAAATCAAGTTTTGGAGAAGTGGTTTATTATATAGGAAAACTATATTAGTGCAACTAAGCAAATCTGTAACTAATGGCAATTGACTATTGCCTTATCCTTACTTTAAATATATCTGAATATAGTGTACCTGGTTTGATTTCTTGTTAATATTAATGGACACTTCCACCTCCATCCCTTTCTGTAAAAATTTGATTATGTGTTCCATCTTTGAGTCTAAATCTTTCTTCTCAATGTTGCCCTTCATACGGATCTGTTTTATCTTGGTTATATCTTGTTGGAGTTCAGTTTGGATTTCTTTCTTGACTTTCCACCATCCTTGAGCCTCCTCTGGTGTTACCATGACATACTTTGCCTTATTCTTTACATCATTTTTGTCCACGTACTGAACAAGACGCAATCCCTGCTCAGCTGCTTCTCGTTGGGCATGCTTAAAAGCTATTTCTTTTATAAGCTGACCCTCTTTGTCACACAGTTGGATATTTTTATCTGCCTTCAGAACGATTCTGGGTGGCAATTTTACCTTTTCTGGTCTTTTCTTTGGAAAAGTCCTCTTTTGTTCAGTTTCATCTCTCTCACTTTGGTTTTTGTTTTGAGAATCCCTGAAAATCAGGCTTGTATGTAAGAGTCTTTGCTGGCAGTCTACAAAGGGTAAACACTGAGGTGCCTTACCAAAAGATGAATGCGACTTTCTGTGTGAAGATCTGATTAATTTCCACCAAGAAGATGATCTCATCAACTGCTTTTCTTTCTGCTGTGGTGCGCCCTTCCTCTCACCGTGAACATGTATTATAGAGGGCACTCTGATATAAGTAGACAGCATCCTACATCTGGTCCTTACTGTCAGCACTACTCCCATTATGGAAGCCATGTTGTTAATTTTTGTTAACTGCAATACAAATGATAAAATAAATATTAAGCATTGTACAACAGACAGATACTGATAGTGCTGTACGTTATTTAGACATTTGAAAGTAACTGTGTTTCTATTGGTGATTAAGTAGAGACCAGAGATGATAAAATGTCCCCTAGTGTCAGATTACTTTATTTCAGTTTATGCTAGGTAACCTTGCGGCAGGTAAGGCCTCACCCTGCCTTATGTTTTAAATGCTAGTTGCTACAAATATATACATCCTGAAAAAACTTTGTCATCTGCTGCTTGCCCTTTGTTGAATGTCACTTCTATTTAAAGTATCTCTTTGCTCTTCAAGCACCAATTTGATAAAGTCTTGCTCTTTTTACATATTCCAGATATCTACGACTGGGTTCCCATACCTAGATCAATCTAACAGGAGCGTTCCATCTTCACAGGGTTTCTCGCTAAATTGCTTTCAGCTTAAGTGGCTTAGATGTCTAAGACCTACTAAGGCTGCTAAACGATAGTTAATTATCCCACATCAGCTTAAAGTAGGTGTGACAGGCATCTAGGCCACTTAAGTTAATTGCAATTAAGTGAGAATCCCCTTGGAGATAGTTCGACTGTAAGTTAACAGGATAGTCTCTGGGAATGATCTCTGCTGCATTCTACATGTGATAGTCATCAGTATAATGGACTTCATAAATGTACACTATATGTATGGTATATATGAAGTTTTGTGTTTATTATATCGCATTTTTTCGGCGGAGAAACAAACAAAATCGGACTTTCGGATTCAAAACTTTCTTAGTAGCCCCCCCCCCCCCCCCCCCCCCCCCATAATTTGGAGTGGGGCAAGTAGATTTTCAGACCTTATTGCTGCCGAGCAAATACCTAAAATAGTTTATATCAAGCCCTGATGTATACAACGTTTTGGAGATCTAGGCAACGTGTAAAATAAAAAATATATATATATATATATTAGTTTTATTTTTTAATGTTAGTAAAAAGCATCCAGCGAGCATATCCATCGCGTTGCAAGATCTCTCATTTTTTGCTCTCTTTTTTCCCCTCAAGTCACATACTGCTGCGGTGTTAGAAGTCTACTGATAGCCGCTTCAACCAGTTACCTATGTGAGACGCTTTTTCACATGCAGGGGTAATCCCAGAGAGCCGCGTCACATAATAAGGGCGCTGACATCTTGGATAATGTTCGAGTATTTCCGTGGGTTTTAAATAAGCATTTGGATTCTTATCATATTGTATTTTTACTTTAAAATACAATTAATGTATAACAATCCAATAAGATTGAAGAATAAATGTAAAATAGCTGCTGTAGGCTTACTGATAAAAAATCCATAATTTACGGAAAAAACCGAAGTCAGTCTCAATAGAAAACAGCATGGCGGCCGCTGAAGTAACGAAACCGCCGAATGAAGACGATGAAGCGTGGCTTTATGGAGGTACACAGATACACAAATTGTGCACTTACATTAAATTATAGCTTTGACAAAGAGCGATTATCGAAACAAACTTTACAAGGAATAAATTTGCCCAAGACCCGAAATCAAATATGTTTCAATTACCGTACCACATAACGCACCAAGTTGGACAAATGCTTTTGCATTATACTATAGCCTGAAGTATGGTGTATCTATAGCTTGTCGGCATTGTTGCTGTTTTATGCTATCTAGTTGTAACTTCTGGTGATCGGTTTTTGCTCTCTCTCTCTCTCTCTCTCTCTCTCTCTCTCTCTCTTCCATTTCCAAGGTAAAAGATGGCTTTTTACTAATCAGTGCAACTCTTGTGTTCTTGTTTATTTTGAAGTACTATGCTGTCATTTTTTAAAATGTGTTAACTGGTCAGTTGCACAGGAATGGGACGTGATATAACTTTAAATTATAAATGTCTGGGCATCAATTTCAGATGCAGATCAGAAGAAAGCAACAGATACAGGGGCGGCTGGTGATGATGCTCCAGCGTCCAGTCTGTCAGTAGAAGCTGAACCTTTTCAGCCAAAGAAAACAGATGACAAAGAAGCAGGAGAGCTGGTAATATAACGTCACTACTTTTAGCACAGTAAAAATAATGCAGGAGAACTGAGCTTAGTTGTAGATTTGACCACATATTGAAAAGTCATCCAAGATAGCCTAAAACAAAACTGTTGACACTGCATGAGATCATATCATATAATGAGATTAGAAAATGTGAAAATCCAGATGAGGTGGGCTTAAGCTTTAAGTAAAGGGTGAAACTCCATACAACATGAATTATATCTCACAATACAATTACAAACTAACATACAAAACATGACGAATTTGTACTTTTGGGAAAAATACTGATTCCATAGGACTAAGAGAAAATAATCAGAAAAAAATATTGGGTAGATTTTGTCAACTTTTAATTATTGCTGCACTGCACTAGTTAGTCTGCCATTATTTCTAACTCCTCTCTCTTCTGAATCCTTGGATATCTGGCTTGATTTTACCCTAAGTTGAGAGACTTATAGCTATTTCAGATGATTACCATTACAATTGATAAATACCATTGATTACTGTTAGTTTCTATTTTAATTAGCTTCAATCAACACATCAGTTTTGTTGTTTACAACAAGACAGTGACAAATGCTACCTTTTGAGATGGATTGTTTTATTTTGTCATAATATTTGTTGTTTATGTATTTAAGGATAGGGTTAGGAGCACATTGTTTTCCCATTTGGTTTTCATGAAAGTTGCATCTTTATATAGAGTTTTTTTCTCCATTTTCAATGCTATAGTCCAGTTTTTACTATGATGTAACATTCTGAACTGTGGTGGTGCTTGATTGCAGAGTGGAGAGGAGGAGGCTGCCAAAGATGAAGACGATGACGATGACTCAGATGATGATGTACAAGTTACGATAGGAGATATAAAAACTGGAGCGGCCGCATACGAGTATGTGTGCAATCTTTTTAATCGTAAAAATATGCATTGATTCTTTTGACCAAGTCGGCAATTTTTGACTTTAATTTCATTCCTGAAACCTAATCTGACCAAAGCATGAAATATGACACCATTTGCCATTATTTACTAATTAATCTGTAATTAAACCAATTAATTTAATCTGGTAAATGAGCACATGGTAATGACCTTTTACTAATAATTTGTAAAATCCCTTAATTTTATGTACTTTCCATATTATACTTCATAGTTTGTTTACTTACTAATTCATCAGCATCAGTGTTAAATCAGCTAGAAAAGAAAAAGCAAAGAAAAATTGACTCATTTAGTAAGAATTTTAAGCTGATTTTATTTTAACAAAAAGGTTTTGACCTGAAATGTTTCTCCCTTTAATTTGTACTCACAAATTTGTATTATTTCCAGGGCAGCACCTAGGAATTTATTCAAGGCAACAGCTTATGCAAAGTCAGGGCCAGCAAGTATGTTGAATTTTACTTTTTTGTTTGTTCATTTTAAGCAATTAAAGTAGATAAGTAGATTTCTTGTTAGTGAGGGACAGAATAAAGCTGATTAAAAATGAGTTGTTTGTGACTGGCGTCTGTGATGAATTGTTTGGATAATACAATGTAACATGGTCAGAACATGGCATAACAACAAATGGTAACATAAATCATATATTAAAGAAAAATTCAACATATAACACATATGCTAATTAACACCCCATTTAGATAAAAATAGATAATTCAAGAAAATAATACTTTTTACCTATACCTGTGTGAATGTTGACCTACTCCAGTGTGAATGTTGACCTATGTCAGTGTTGACTTTACCTGGGGGAATGTTGACCAGTGCCTGTGTGAATGTTGAAATACACCCACATGAATGTTGACCTTTACCTGTGGGAATGTTGACCTGTGTCTGTGTGAATGTTGACCTTTACCTCAGGGAATGTTGACCTGTATCTGTGTGTTTGTTGACCTTTACCTGAGGGAATGTTGACCTGTATCTGTGTGTTTCAGGTGGAGTCAAGGCACCTGCTAAAGGTGTAGATGTGGAAGCCCAGGGGACAATTAATGGGGTATCTACACTAGAGTTTGATATTGACTCTTTAAAGAATGAAGAAAAACCATGGAGGAAGCCAGGTTGGTCACCATTATATTGAAAACTTAGTTTGAAAAGATAATGTGAATAAGTGATAGAAATAAATAAATAATGAGAATAAAAACAGATTAAATAAAGGAGGTGCACGAGTGGTCATTTGTAGTGAAATATTTTTTAAGTACCAGTCAGTGGCACTTTGTTAATTGTCAACATTTGAAATGAAATATTATCCATCTGGTAAATGAGCAGATAGTTATGACCTTTTACCACTGATTTGTGAAATCCCTTAATTGTATGAAGAGATAGTTCCATATTATACCTCATAGTTTGTTAGTGTGTCCTTAATCTTATGAGAGAGCTGTGTGTTGTGTCTCACATAGAGATTTCAAGTTAATGTTGGCAAACTATAATATTTTCCTAGGTGCTGATGTGACAGACTATTTCAACTATGGTTTCAATGAAGACACATGGATGCAGTACTGTGAAAAGCAGAGGAGGATGAGGTTGGAGAGCGGGGCCAACAAAGTCTTTGTAATTATATGCTTTTTATATAACTCTTTCCCCCATCTGCATGGGTGACAGTTTTCAGGAATATGCCTGATTTCAGGATTTTCAGTCTTTATTTTGATCATCTTTTCATGTGGTCTAAATACGATGAGAAATTGCAAGATAGGTTTACAGGATTTTAAGTTTTTTCAACTTTCACCCATGCACATAAGACACGTCAACAGCCTGCAGCAATAAAACTTTTAAAAATTAAGGCCAGCATGGAGATTTTTTTGGCAAATGCTAAAGTTGGTCAAATATGGTTCAATGCGTAGTGTACTTGATGAGATTTTTTTCTCAATTTATTAAAAATTTGGTAAACATATTTATTATATGTAAAAAAAAAAGATTTGCTTTTGAATGAGACACTGGAAAACATTGTTGATAGATTTTTTGGATGAACAAGATCACTAACATTGCTAACATCAAAATAAACTTTTTGTTGCTATTATTGTTATCATGATTATAAATACTAAGCTCCCTGTATTGTATGAAAATTGTACACTATTTTGATAGATGAAGAGATAGTTGTAGATATTGATACATTCAAAAGTAATCCTTATTCTTACTGTAACAAAATTATAGCCTGTGAACTAATACTTACCTCAAGCTATCAGGTATATAAGTGATAACTTTGTTCCCTGTTATGTCAGGTTCACCATGGACAAGGAGCCCAGGGAGCCCCGCCTAAACCAGATACCACACCCAAAACACAGGGGAACAGTAAGTACATCTGGCAATAGAAACTGATACTCTCAAGAATCTGTACTTAGTGACTTTTGTTAGTGGTTCAGCAAATTGTCTGGAAATCAAGTTTTTTTTTTTCAAATTCAGTTTGTATAACATGAACTTTAAATTGATGCCTGTAATATCTTTTCCTTTGAATTTATTATAATATTTTAAAATAGATTTCCTTCGTTTATCATTATTAAACATCTCTTCCTCAGTTCTTGTCCTGTCAAGCACGTCACCAGCTCGTAACTACAAAGCAGGCCCGCCTCCACAGCGGAAAGTCTCTGGAACAATAGATGTGATTGGTGGCTCAGCACAGTCTTCACGGCGAGTTGACAGCGAGCCCCACCCTCCTGGCTTACCATCAGATGGTCTAATGAACCCAGATTTGTGAGTTTAAAATGAAATAATGTAGTTGAATGTATATGACAAATAGTGACATAAGTTTGTTAGTATTATACTTCGGTTATGTTTTTATTTTCTTTTTCTTTTTTTGATTATGACAGCCCTGTGTTTCCAACAAAATTGATATGGAAATGTTTTGTCCTCCATAATTTTTGTATATTAAATTATTCCATTTGAGCAAAGGAGACTTAGATGTCTTGCTCTCTCTGTATCATTCTGATAACAAAAGGGTTTATTGGCTTATTGCTAGTGCATAAGTTACAACAAATATAAATTTTAATTAATAAATTGTCTCTGCCTTTTTAACATGGACAAATACCTGTAATAATAGCCATATTCTCAGAGACATTATCGTATTCATTTTATATCTTAGTAAAAAACCATACCCCCAGCCAGTGCCGCCCCCTGGTGTGGCACCCAGCATGCAGCCTGTCCCACAACACGAGTATCCAGTACCCCCTCCAGGAATGCCACCCCCGGGGATGCCGCCCCCAGGGATGCCCCCACCACCTGGTAGGTATACAGAAAGGTAATGGGAATTGCCTAAAATAATGGCTATATGGGTGATGTTATATGAGACTAGAAAATGTGTGAGAATGGGATTGACGTCTTAGGAAGCAATACAGATGTGACCTGCAAAAGATGGTGAATTTGTACCATTGCAATGGATATATAGTAATGGCAGATCACCTGAAGTCTTTGTTTCACCTTTCTCTCCCAAAGTATAATCTGATCTGTTGACACCTGACAGGTGTTAGCAATACCTTAGGGCGGTGGGAAGGTAGTGGTCGTAGTTTGAATTTGATTACAACTGTTAAAAGTATATTTTGAAGGGATTTCTAGCCTTTGGCAATTTCCGTAAAGTTTGGCATGTGTGATGGATATCATATACTGTCAATAACACTATAGCCGATAGTCAGGCTTGATGGCTTAGTGGATAATGTTTTTGGCTGCCAGTGCCCAGTGCTGCCCAATGGAATGTCAATAGTAGGGTTGACTTTTTTGTATTGCAAGATTACAACATATAAGCTTCACATTCAGCATGAATTTTGTATTTTTCAAAATTATTGTTAGACTTATGTTAGTAAAATAAAATGAAATCACAATTTAGTATGTTTGTTTTGACTTTAAAATATACTATATAGTAACTTTTGATAAACAAACTGAATTATTTCAGTGTTGTTTCCCCTGTTTTATTCCAGGTGTGCCACCCCCAGGAGTTCCTCCCCCAGGATATGGACCCCCTCCCAGTAAGTTACTTAACTATGTCTATTGCCCCCCCCCCCCAAACACCCCAATGCATGTTCTCTCTCTCTCTCTCTCTCTCTCTCTCTCTCTCTTTCACACACACACACACACACACACACACACACACACACACACACACACTTGACTTTTGAATTGTGTGTCCTTTCCTATTCTAGCCACTTACCTTGATGTCCCAATATGTCTACGTTTTTATCTTTTTTATTTGATTTATCTCATTTATTCAGTATTTTTCAGTAGTAACTTTTTTGAAATAAGGGTAAGAGTTCTAATGAAAAGGAAAAATTATTATATTAATACAGAAGGTTAAGTTATTGTGTACTTGTGATTCAGGTTTTTACCCCCCACCAGGAGCTGGACCACCCCCTCCAGACAGGTAAAACATTACTTCATAGATCTACACAGTTTACTGAACAGATTAACACGCATCTCAATGTAATTGTGTAATAACCAGCTTTTCTGTATTCTACTTAATGCAAAGAGGAAGTGTGTGAATCTGTTAACCTGATTGCATTCAGCGAGAGTTCCTCTGGGGTTAGTGGGCAGTAGCTAGTACCATAGATTTATTGTGAACGCACCCTAAATTTCAGTCTTATCATAAGTGCATCTTCTGGCCAAATGACCATAATATGTTTAAAAAAATATAGTTTCAATGTAAGTGATTCTCACCAACAAAAACTACTGAAATTGCGGTCTTGGAACCATGATCAACTTGCTGAAAATCTTCTTTGGTCTCTTTTCAGGGGCCCACCCCCAGGGTTCGAAGACAGACCCCCATATGGTTATGAAGGTCCTCCGCCCTCTTTCTCACCATATTCTGGCGGACCTCCCCCTCATCCTGGTGGACCACCCCCAAATTGGGACCCCAGGCCAGGGGGTGGATACCCCTCCAACCAGCCACCCCCCTGGGAGTACAATAGAGACCGAAGTCCTGCACGCTCTGATTCATACTATGACAGCAGGTAGGAGACAGTGGGTGTATCACCTGGGGGGAGGGAGGGGGGGGGGGAAATGGGTAACCGGAATAGTCTATATGTCCTGCCACTCTGTCTGTCTTTCTGTCTGTCTATCGGTGTGTGTTTGTCTTGTGTCATCATTGCTGAAATAGGATGGTCTGTACTTCTGTCTGTTTGCCTGTTGGTGTGTGTTTTACCTGACTGACAATTTTACTGTTTTGAAATCCCTGATTGATGGACATATATGCTGTCTGACCCCCCCTTTCGTTTAATTATTGATTTATTGTATTATCAGCTTTTTGATGGAGAAATCATACTGCATTTATCCACCAAATTCGATATTTTATCCTAGAACAAGATGAAAATGTATCCACAATGCTGGTGCATAGGAAATAAATGAATTTTTATGACATTAGAATATTTTCCATGTGACATTTTAGAAGCCTCTTCTTGAACTTCCAGAAGCATCAAAATCTGCAGTCATGTAACAAAATTTTTGAATGGGTAACAGCTGTCAGTGCTGACAGTATTGAAAAAGTGGAACATAACAACTTGTGCTGGTGGAAATAGTTCTATGAAACATAAACCTTGAAAACTGCACTGTTTGAACATTTTTGTTTGTGCTCCTTTGAGCTAAAAATACCCGCTTGTATATACAAGTGAGTTATTATAGCAACTTTTTCTGCTGCCACTTTCCAAGAAAAGGTGGTTAATACATCCTTCCTATTGAAATTGTTTTTCACAAATGAGAAACTGTTGATAATAAATCTTACTGTAATTGCATCTGACACTTTAGTATTTAGGAAAATGAAATTTGACCTCCCGTCAATATCGGCCCCCCTTGATGATGTTAGGGTTAAATTTAGAAGACAGTGGCTAAATATAGCAGTGCTTTTTATATGTGAGGTGTCTCTAGGAGTTTCTAGTTCACAAGAGGTGTCTACATATCTGCAAGATTCTTTTGAATAGGTTTATGAATAGTTACATTGTCAAGTTACAGTGATTATTATTAATGAAAAAATTAGAAAATGATAGTCAAAATATTGTTCCAAGTTTATGTTAAAATATACTTTAATCCAAAGTTGTATAAATATTTACAAGAGCAAAAGTAATTGTTTATGCAGTAAAGTTTTTAATTTCTTTTAATTTAGTTTTTTTTTTTCAATTTTAAATACCTACCATGTTTAGATTTTCCACCACTCAAGGACAGCAGAGCAAAAGTCAGTTCTGACAGAGCAAACTTAGATATTCTCACAGTTCTTCAGTTATTTGCAAAATTTTGCTACTTAGTTTTAACTTGTAATTAAATTTCAGCTGAGTAAAATTTAAAAGTGCAGCCTCAGTCAAAGCCGCTTTATTTCACCCGAAACAATTATGCAGAATTAACTTTCTGAATGTGCACTAATAAATTGTTGTCGGGATTATCCAACACAAGTTGTGTGCCAGTGTTAGTATAGGACAAAGTACAATTAGTAACAATTAACTTTGATATATGTGTGAGCTGTAATGTAAAAAGAGATGGAAGTCTGTCAGCAGAGTGTTTGGTTATTTACATCCCCAGGTCATTGCAGGACAGGTCTGATGCTCGTTTGAATACAAACAGTCAGGGTTCGTTGACACTGGGGCATTTTTAGCAACAAATCTGTCACCGTTGATGTCTTGATTTTGAAAATTCACAGATTTTTAATAAAGAGGTGTTTCTGTGCATTTCTGCTCTTTTATCAATGTCTAATTCAGTTTTTTAATGGTCATTTATAACATTGTTTATATATGTATAAAAACTACTGGCATTAACTGTTCATGGCTTAGTTTGTTTGATGTACAGGCCCGTAGCCAGCAGTTCTAGAAATTCTTTTTCTGAAAAAATGGATCTTTTTCCATGAAACTTTTGTGTACCTAGAAAAAAAGGCAATTCGTTTGAACCTCCTGATCCCTTGGTTAAAGACCTTAAATATTTCCATGGCATGTAGAGTTATATGTTGAAACAATTGTTTTTATTTTTGTGTTAAAGTACATTCTTAAATGATTTTAAGATAACTTTTTTCCAATTATAAGGCCACAAATCAGTTTACTATTAAAAATATTAAACAAAACAAACAAATTGGCACATGTGCAACAAATAGACTTTTTTTTTCAAAGAATAAATGTAAGAAAGGATTTCATTAAAAATGTACTCTTTTCCTAATGCTACTTACCGTGTCATGCTTGATGGCATGTGCTATTCTTAACGAGTTCCTTTTTATGGACAATGTTTTTTCGTCGAGGTGAAAGAAAGACCTGGGGGACTTTTTGAACTTCATTTTCCTCCTCTTTTGGATCAGCTCATTAGGCTTCTAGGCCCCGCCAAGCTTCATGACCTTAATCATGGCCTCAAGTGTGTGGTACAGTTGAAAAATATTCAGGTTCACTTTATGGAATTTACCAATAGTGAAGAACTTTTTTGGGTGCACCCCCCCCCCCCCCCCCCCCCCCCCCCTTTTTCATATGCTGGAGAAGTGATATTAGAATATATTGCTGAATAGGCTAATAACTAGATAAACAGCCTGAGTACCCAGACCTCCACCAAGGCAGAATATTTTTCTAATTAATATACTTTATTGATATATCAAGTTATGGATCACCACTAAAATCAGTTTTTAGTTATCCCATTTCCGACTGAACCTCAAAATTTTATTCAAAACCGTTTTTTAACTTTTTGAGTTGGACTGTTTAAAATTAACAAACCAAGCAACTGAGCCAAACATGACATCTCATGCAGGCAAGGGTAGTAATCATCCTACTCTCCTTACATAATATTTAGTGAAAAAGAATTTCAATCTCTTTTTGCTACTTGTGCTCACTATTGCCCTCCTGCATTATTCACTAGTGTGTGGAGAATGGGCAGTTCACTTAATTCATTAGTTACCATGACATATTTTTCTCTTTCACGTTTTTCCAATTCATTGTTACTGAAGCCTTGTTTCCATTTGTTTTATTTATTTTCATGTTATTTTTTAAGTGATTAGAGCAATTGAATATTTCAGTCAGCCTTAATACTTATGTATGTGTAATTTTTTCATTATTAACATTATTTTTGACATTATTATTATTATTATTACTTTCAGTTCAGACAGTGAGGGAGAGAGGAGCAGCAGCAGGTTTAACAGTAGTGGTGGAAGTGGTACCAGAGACAGGAGCAGGGATTCCTATGAAAGGGATTCAAGGTCTGTGCACTGCATGCTTTCTTAAACATAGTGATACTCTTGACAGGATTTTTGCGACTAAATCTAATTTACCATGAGAAGCAATTTTTTTGTGCGCCTGAATCATTGCTTCACCATCCCTGCACTTGGATTTAGTGTTTTGTTTTTTTTTTTATTTCTACAAGTAATTAAACCACCTAGTTCAAAGACCATCTTGTCTTCTTGACATTTTAGAAGGCAATATCAACATCAGGGAGAGGCTTTTTTGAATTGTTTATAATCCTGTATAGGGAAACAGAAGTAACTTTGCAGAATATATAGACATAAAAATATGACTTCAGGCAATTTTTAATTGCGTTTAGTATACCTTTAAGTTGGTCTAAAGTATAAGACTGAAAGATATAGTCTGCTATGACATAGGTTTAATCTGAGGTAGTTCCATAAAATGAGATTTTTTTTTGCACAAAAGTAAAAAGAAACTTGTTTTAGAGCAATATTTTGTAATCTGGCCCTCAAGTGGAAGAATACTTATTATCTTCTAGAATTTAGACATAACTTTTCTCATTGCCCTAAATTGTTGACTGAATGGTTTGTTATTGTCATAGCTAGCCGGTATTAAATATAACTGTACCTAATGATCTGATTGGGGAATTGAGTGGGGTTTTACCAGGAGGAGACTCGTTAACCTGACAAATAGGTTCAAAGTTAGCATGGTTTTGTGTAAGGGTGGAAATGTTACATGTGTTTCAAATTTTGAGACAAATCACATAAATATTTCCTGCTATAAATCTACTGTATAAAAATGCGTTGCTTTGTAGTGGTGTGAATATAGGTGAAGCTAAATTTTTGGTGAATTTAAAGCTTCATGTTGGTCGGTGACAAAGTCTGATTTGTAATTGCTTAGCACTTGAAATGTGTGAAGCCAGGAAATTGATTTTTCCTTCTTGTGTTATACAGATGTTTTTGCTCTTTTGGGTTGTGAAATTTCATAATTTATTACTGTTACAATGTACAAAAGTTTGATTCATTGCTTTATTTTTCGGTATATTTATATGATGAATCTGTTAAAAAAAATTATTTATTTATTAATATTTATTTTATTTATTATTTTTTTGAGTAAGGAAATTAAGTTACATTTGCAAATTGAAACTTGTGCTGTCCATGATTTTGAACAGAAAAAAATCTTAGGTTAGTTTACATAAAACAAGTTTATAGTTTATACAGAAAAGATAAGAGCAGAGCACAGATGTGTTATTATGATAATTATTATGTATTATACATATTAATTTTGTAATTAGACCTCTTTCCTTCCAAGACTGATGTCTGCAAAAATAAGTGTATATAAGAGAGAAGTAATTAAATATATTTATGATTACTGACAGGAATATAATGATAACAGTTGGGCACAAAGTTTAAACACCCATAACCCATATGATGCTGGTGCTTTTTTCTTTCTTTCTAAAATATGTGTGTTTTTGAATGTTTTTCCAGGTATCGCAGAGAAAGGAGGCAACCGCACAGAGATCGAGAGGATCGCCATCGTCGAAGGTAATGGTAGGGCCGGGGCCATCTCGTATGGAGATCTAGTGAGTCCAAGAGTGCCTCCTTTGGATTCAGTTCTCCCATTGCCATCTTTGATTACACTTAAAAAAAAAGAAAATATCAAATTTGATGAGATTCAGTTCTTTTTATTAGCTGCCTCAGTTATGGTTGCCCTTTTTGGTTTTCAGTCACTTTTGCATTTATCAGCTTCTTAGCTCTCTCTTCCTTAATTTCAAAACAAGTACAAAAAATTCAGTGGGGTTGGATAGCATGCAGTATTATTATTATAGACATTTTAATTTGTGGGTGAAGGATATTGAGAAGATTTTTTTTTTTTTTTGCCCAAAGGGTTATTCATTTTGACAATGTTTCACTCCCACACTGGTTGTTACTGATGGTCTTTGACATTTTCAAATACCTGTTGAAGACATATAACCAGTGGGTGCTAAAATATAAACTCTCTCACTATATAATCATTATGTTATCTCTCAACAAGCATATGTGATATATGATTATTATTATGCTCATATTAAAAAGATTTGAATGCTTTGCAGTTTTGCTTGGGAACAGTAGGCCAATACCTGCACGTGTGTGTATGTGTGCGTGCGTGCGTGCAATCTTAACTACAAAGTTGGTTGGTCTTAGCCCACACTGAAATCTATTATAAACTCTTTCAGTTAAGTTGATGGAGCAATGTTCTAAATGTAACTGTTGATGTTCAAAATTTTGAATGAGAATATACTCATACGTTTGCACTTATATTTGGTCATTTTTTGTTAACTTCAGGAAACACAGAGAAGAAGAAGAGAAAGACGGTGACCGTCACCGTGGCCATAAAAAGAAACGTTCGCGAAGAGACCGCGAAGATGGCGAGGGAACGGAGGACTCACAACAAGGAGTGGAGTGAAAAGGTCGAGGACATCTTGGACTCTTTGTAGCAAATTGGAAACTTAACTAAAAACACTAGCAGTTTCAAGTTTTTACAAGCTTTAACAATGGAAGAGGACAGAACATCGTGGCTTATTTATGGCTCTTCCGTGTTTTGTTCTTGTATATGAAATGGCAGGACTTGGGTATAAAGCACTGCCTTATGCTGTATAGTCTGTGTTGTTCTATAGTGAAGTGGCAATACAGAACATTTACAGCACTGTCGCAGCTTAACATTCCTTCGTGTCATAATGTCATAACGTTTGACTGGACGATTTGTCATGGTGTAAGCTCTGCGGTTACAACGACAAACAGCCTTTGCTTGGGTTTAATGGAAAGGAAAGGCAGTCTCCAGATCACAGTTTTAAGGTGGTGAAAACACCGCGACAGAGGGGACACTTATGATCTTGATAGAGTTGCGAATGTGACAGAGGTCAGAATGCGTAGGTCTGTTGCCTAATGTCTCACAAACAACAGAATAACTCCAATACGCAGAGTGAGTCTGTCTTCAACAATGCGTACAATGTGCGTACATGCAACTCTGATCTTGACATCGTAAAAGAACGGGTAGGGCCAGCTATTCTGGTTTCAACATGCACAGTATAGTGATGTGAATGTATAGGCAGAGAGAGTTTTCAAGCTCTGTCACACCTAGCGTAAAAAGAAACGTATGAGTATCGTATGTGAAAGCGATTATAAGCACAATTTTGAGCGTATGAAATCGGCCCTTTTCCAGCGTATGAAAATGAACATATAAAACAGCGTATGGAATTTTGAAACGCGTTCAAAACAGTTTTGGCTCCCTCCGCGCATGGGAACGTACTCCAACGTTTGCTTGTGTACTCGAGACGTATACCAACTGTTAGTCTGCGTATGGGCAATTTGTTCTCATACTGTTGTGCTGTACGCTAAATGTGACAGAACCTGCAGATATGCATGTTCATGCACACATCAGTTCATTGAAGAGAAGATAGAAAAGAACACCCAGTTGGGGTGAATAAATTACATATAACTTTTATAAATGTTATTTTGTAGTGTACAAATGTCGTGAATACAACAGCAGTTGTATGAATTTTGTATTTAACTCATGGAATGGGTGCGATATTCTTGATTCCACCCCCCCTCCACTCCTCCCCCGTGTAATATCAGCTGTACCCTATTTTCAAAGAAATGATGAAAGTTTTTTTTATCATTTTAATAGAATTCAGTTAAGGACAATTATGTTAGTCATTGCTTCGTGGGGGTGAAAATTTTTACAAGCCACCCTACCCCAAATGATCATCATAATGTATTTCGTTTGACTGCACTTTGACATAGTTTTGTCAAGTGAGTTTTGTAAGAAGTTCTCACCTTGCACCTTGAAGTATTAGGGCACGTCCCAAGGGCAATCTATTACCGGAACTACAACATATCCATCAGTCTGGAGAAATGCACACCCCCTCATAACAATTAACCACGAGGGAAGACAGACAGGACAACGGCATATATAACGGAATTTCCATTCAGAGCGCACTTGTTGTGTTCAATAAAGATCATCAGTTGAGCATCACCGACAGCAGAGCTATTTTATCAACGCTAAAAATATCGATAACCTCATTGTTCGCTTGTTATGAGTATTATGGTGGCGGAACATGTCTGTAATCCTACCTTTAATTGTGAATAAGTGATAAGAGATAGTCCGCGTGAGGTAGGCGGGAGATCGAGCTTGGGTGAAGGAAAAAAATCACGATTCTTTTGTAACAATGCTACCCCTCTAACAAGGCGTAACATTTGTGAGTGTCAGGTTACCATGGTGACGCCGTGAAAACGAGTACACTTAGGTCACCTTCTCTCAATGGACCTGGTCACGTTTGTGGAGGTCATAAAAACGCTGACAATGCCCGACAACCCATGCCCACTGTGCGTCCAGGTGATCGGTTTGAACGACAACTGAACCAAGTTAATGATACGCGCTGAACCACAGTCAATAGATCATAAATTCATGACAAATGTGGATAAAAGAAATGAAAACACCTGGATATTTATTTCATTTGATGTGAAATGGTGGAAAGTTAATACTGATGCAAAGAGTCTGCAACTCATTCTTGAAACCTACCCCGAGCAGAATATTTATATATACCAGTATATATATATATATATTCTCTGAAAATGTTTCAAATTGAGATTATTGGTGTTATAAAAACAGCTTTGGTTGTCAGTCCCTTGTAGATAGCCTACATTATAAAAATTGGGGCGTTGTTAACAATCAAGGTACCAGTATTTAATATGAAACGCCGTATCTGTTGTTCTCCCTCGTTCCATACTTAATTATAATTTGGCGAACAAATTAATTTTATTCGTGTTTGTAAATCTGCCGATTGTTAAACAGATTTCTGCACATCATCAAATTCTTTTCTTTTTACATTTTAATTTTTTTAATTCTAAAATCGTTTAGCAAGGGCTGAGTTATTATACAGACTTGACATTAAAATGATTAAAATCGAATGATCAAGAAGTTGGAAAGAGAGAGTAGAGAAAGTGGAGAAGGCGGAGAGACCAAGACTCTTATATAAACCCTTTACAAGTCTTAAAGTTAACGGAAAGAGTAGCAGTTTATATTGTATCTAGGAGTATTCTTACTTGTCCTGTACCCAAAAATAAATGAAAAAAAAAAAAAAAAAAAACTACATAGGCAAACACAAAGCCCATGCTATTGATATATTTTGCCAAGTCATTTCACAAACTGGTTTGTGGGTGCCACTTCTATCGGTGTTTGTGTTGACGACGATCTGTATATCTACCTAAATCGAGCTCTTTGACTTGTTCTTTCTTTCCGACATTACACAATAACTGCCTTTTGTGTATTGAAAAGAAGGTAGGCTAGACACAAAAGGATGCCCCGCCATCGCAATCCCATAAAAGAATAATCGTGATGTACTTGCTGCCAAAAATAGCAAACAACCTTTTCTCTATTTTTTAAAAAGTAGCGCTTTTTTGTTTTGACAGTAACAAATCTATACCATACGTAAGACCTGTGTTTTGCCACTACCTGTGGGAGTTCACACCAAATCCTTGCCTTTATCAAGGTAAAACATTATGGTCTTGCTTTCAGAGTTTTTAAGGCTCACTCGCATCACATTTGACTTAATCCTGGAATAATTCACCATTTTCACCATTCGACATGCCACGCCCGTAAGAGACAGGTGTAAGTAAAACAAAAATGAGCTTAATTTTATTTACCTAGAATATTGTCTTCTTGGGGTGCTCTCTCTACTAGCAATACTGTCTTTTTGGTGTTAGCCGCAACACACACACACACACACACACACACACACACTGTTATACAATTTTGTAACAGCTAGAAGGACTCTTGGAGAGAACAGGTATGGGTATTTGTCAGCAACGGCAACTTCCAACTTTCAGGCCAGTTCTGTAATTAGCAAATCATGCCATGACGACAATATTATCGTTTCAGGCAGCAATATCACTATAGGGTTTCATGACATGTTTCTATTGTTCATGGTTTTAACTTACACACCAACACTGTTTTTTTAACAAACACAAATACCACATCTTCAATAGCGATCACTTCATAGACACTACTGGTAGGAGGAAGTTAACAGGTGTTCAGAAAAAAAAAAAAAAAGCAATATCGAAGATAATGCGTTATGCACTCGAGCAATGTAGTTTACGTTTCTATGTATATAGTTCCGGCATAGATCGATCCTTTTTTTATAGAAATGTGAGTGTCCATATAGCGTGATACTGCGACAAAACGAGATATCTGTTAGTAAATATTGGAATTATACCAGACATTTACGATAGGCATGGCGTTGTCAAGACAGACTAAAACGTCGATACTGTCAAAACTCATAGATAAAGTAAATCTTATTTTCATAACTGATGCACTGGGGTTTAAGCATTGGACTGCATTTATCTATCTCGGGGGCTAATTTCCTTTCGGAGAAATGAGGTATTTTAAGATGCATAAAAATGACATTGATCTACATAAGTATTCAGTACATTCTGGATTGAAGGTTCAATTTTAAGCATTTGCAGCGTCCTAGGTACAATGAATACCTTTGACGAGGTTCCCGAAGCTTCGGCAATTGTACACGTGTCACAGAAAGGTTGGTCCCCTCCCCCGGACGTTTCCTTTGTTAAACGACTGCACCTTTGTGGTCTCCCAAGAATACCACCTTATTATTCTCCATTTTTACTTCAATAAAAAAAATCCGCTGCCATCATTTCCACAATTGTTCATCTTTAAAGGTATGGGTATACTTGTACAGTTTTGATTGGCGCCGCGGCAATAAAACACCGCGCTGCAATATGATGTTTTATTACCTGACATAATGGCAAATGCATCCATTATACAGACCCATTTCAAAGCCTCGTCGTTTCTTTTCAACTAGAGATAAATGCTTTGACAATGTATATATATATGTTCAACAAGATGTCTTGTTCACGGAGGAACCGATATTGTTTGCACGCCGGTCTAGGACAATATCCACATTTGATACAGGCCGAAATAGATTTACCCTTGAAATCTAATGATTCTTAACCATTCCATTCCCTTCACCAGAAAAAGAAAGATGAAAAGTAATAAGGAAACAGCGTGCAGAGAATTTATCGACAGAGCATACAAGTCCACTCCATGAAAACTAACAAATCACACACATGCGTTGCAGCAAATATAGCGGCGTTTTCAACCATTGCGGTGTGCAGTGATGTTCATCATTTACAGGTCTGTTGTCAAATATTAGCTTATGAAATGATAATGTGGCTAATCTACTGGATCGATTTCACCGCATGGGTGATAGGGTGGAACACCGTGATACCCGATGCTAGTGAAGTAATCGAAGCAGTAAACCTGATGACATAATGGAGCGGTTCAAAAATTCTGCAGCTTGTAACCCCACACTGAGATTTTGCCTACCTCTTACAAAGCTAAAAAGATTTTGTAAAAGTAACGTTAGTGACATTTCTTAAACAGGTCACGGATTGGAATAAGTTACGTAAATCAAGGCATATATTTCGACCGTAATCTGAACCTCTTCGAGTGGGTTCTTTCCTTTTTATGAAGTAGGCCTTAATAAAAAAACTAGTTTTGTTAATTGAAAAGAAGTCACGTGTTATTTAATACAGGACAGCAAAGTGAAGTCATCAATAGACTTAAGCATATTGAAGACAGGCTTGAAAACATCACCTCCGCAAGCCATTAATGCTTAGGTTTTGAGTTTTTTTTCTCGTTTATTTTTTGTTGTTCCTCTCCACCATGCCAACACGTCCACGACATTGAATTTCCTTTGTGAATAAAATGTAAAATATTCAGTGTAAAATTATTATATTACCAAAAAGGTTTCACAAAGCATAGTATGTAACGTTCGACAAATTAAGTCCAGTTTTTTTTTGCCGGTAAATTGTTAAATTGTACATGAATAAACGGCATTGCATGAATTATTTACTGTTATCTTTGATTGAGGGGTCCCCATGCTCACTTGTTGAAAAAAACATAATACATTACTTAAAAAAAATTGACAGCACACCGTGACGTGCATGGTCCCCTTTCATTTTCAATTTAATTTTTTTAACAATTAAATTGCCAGAAAAAAACTATAAGATTTGACATAAAAGAGGAGGTTACGGTGGAAATCTAAACACTGGAATATATTCGTTTTGTTCTGAGGCAAGTTCTGACAAATTATCAGTGACGCTGTAGCATATATCTACTTTCAGAAATCAGTTGGATTGAAATAAAACGCTAATTCCCTCAGCATTGCCCGTGGTATTTCTAAATATTATTTTATGTGGATTTATTATACACTTAAATATCACTTCTTTGGTGCAGATTTTATACTTTTTTAATCAAAGAGTACTGGGGTGGGTAAATAAACTGACTTTTCAGTATTTGTAAACAGATGAAAATTATTCTGAAACGAGAATTTACACTAATTGTCAAGATAAATAACATTTATCAAACATAAAACTTTATTTTCGGCAATAGAAGGGGAAATACACCGTTCGTACTAGAAACTA